CAAAATGAATCTTTGCCTCCCAAAAAAATCCTTGCACTGGCCCTGTCTGTATTTTCGCCCTGCAAAATTAGGTTTGTCTTATGACTTTAAAACTACAGGCCTCCCGACTGTCCCGATTTTGGTGGGACAGTCATCCCAAAGTGGATAGGTAAGTTGACAAACTGTTTTAAAATGTTTTTTTTAGAGGTGCCAGGGAACACATGGTACCATAACCACTACAGACTATTATTGTTATAGTGCTTACAGTGTTCCTTTAAGTGATCTCTCTTTGAACAATTAACAGTTAGCAATTCTGCTAATACATCCTGTCATTTCTGCTGCATGTACACATTGTTAAGCACTAGTTAGTTTAAAGGTCCCCACAAAGAAATGGAATCAATAACACTGTTAGATCTTGCCTTCATCTTTCCATCAATCCATAAACAGGACTGTACAACATAAAGGCCCCATACTCCTAATACATTTCTAAAGCTTTCTCTGTCTCTGCTGCACATGCACACAGACAATCCATGTGTCCTGTATATCAATATTCCACCTGCGCAAATGTTTGTTTCTACCAAAGCTGCTTTAACGATGATTTTTTACCCTTTAGTATTAAAGGGACACTATAGTGACCAGAGCAACTATAGCTCAGTGTAGTTGTTCTGGTGGGTATAGTCAGTACTGGCAGGCATTTTCGTGTAACACTGCCCTTTCAGGGAAAGGGCAGTGTTTACATTGCTGCCTAGTATCACCCACTGACTGTGTCACCCACTGACTGTGTCACCCACTGTGTCAGTCACTCAGACGGCCATTAGATGTGCTTCCTGGGTCAGTGCACTGACATTCAGCGTATCCACGCTCTGCATAAAGACGCTAAACGCTGTCCATAGAGATGCATTGGTTCAGCACTTCTCTATGAGGAGATACTGATTGGCGCATTAAAGCATTTTGCGCATTAGCCTCCCAATGCTTTCCTATGGGAAAGTATTTAATTGGCTGAGAACGTCAATTCTGATGATTTCAGCCAGGGAGGAGGAGTAGGTGCCGGGCCAGCGCCGGCAGACGCGAGCAGCGCAAGAATAAATTCACGTTTATATACTATTCAGGGGGGCCAGGGACCAAGATAGTGTTTTTAACACCATAGGTTCAGGAATGCATATTTTTATTCCTGACCTTATAGTGTTCCTTTAAAATAGTTAACATAGTGTGTCAAGTGGAAAGGTGTCATATATGTTTGGCTCTCAAGTGGGCATTGTACTTATTGTATTCAAAAACACTTATAAGGGGGGATCCTGCTCTTTTTATATACTTTTTTTCTTCAATCCTTTGAGTCATATTACATCCTTCCTGTACCATTGCTGTCTCAGGACAAAGGAAGGATCTGATGTGTGATCTTTCATAACAAATCCTTAAAAGGTGGTTATGCATACAAGACAATGGCGTTTCCTAAACTAATTTAACTTGAGAATTTAGTACAGTACCAAGAGCCTTTGACATGACATAACTTCTAGAAATAGCATTATTTTGATAAAAGGATCTAAGGGATTGAAACTTCTGGCACTTGGTGTGGTACAAGCATATCTTCACTGTATGGAAATGGCCTTTTACCAGATAGGAGACTAGACAGGGAAATAAAAAGGAGGATTTTAGGGGTCTGTAAATATTTATATTGCATGAATGAGGGCTACAGATTAATGTATTATTGTATTTGAATTTAAATGTTGCGATGCACAGAAATGGAATTGTGAAACAGGGCTCTTATTCAACAGACTGTTGTATATTTCAGTTTATAGGAAAGATATTCCACGGCCCCTCTGACATCACTGGGGCCACGCGCAGCCCAATCACAGGCTGATAGAACCATTTCGCCGGCGTGTGCACTCTGGTCTAGCAAGGGGCAGGGAGGCAGAGAGAGTGGGGTGGAGTAAGGTTTTTTTTTTTTTTAAATCAATGTGGAATGAGGGAGGTGGGTGGGAGGGGAGAGTTAGCTTCGCTTGTATGGGAAGTATTTCTACTTCTGTTGTCAGTATGCAGTGCGCGTTGACAACAGATGTATTTTATGCACAGAATTGATATTGCTGGGCTGTAACAGAGTGTGGACTATCAATGTCACGTGTGCTGGGGATGCAACTAGCCCCAGTACACAATTACAAAAATCTCAATATGTGCAGTACTTAAAGCTGAACCACTGCACATACATACTCCTACCACCATGATCACTTCAAATCACTAAAGTGGTCATGGTGCTTGGAGAAACCCTTTGACGAACTTTTCCAGCTTTGGCTATTTTGAAATTCACTGGGTGAGCAGGATCCCACCTTATAAGTGTTTTTGAATACAATAAGTACAATGCCCACTTGAGAGCCAAACATATATGTCACCTTTCCACTTGACACACTATGTTAACTATTTTAAAAGAACACTATAAGGTCAGGAATAGAAATATGCATTTGTGACCCCATGGGGTTAAAAATACTATTTTGTTCCCTGGCCCCCCCTAAATAGGGTATAAACGTGACTTTATTCCAGTGCTGCTTGCATCTGCCAGCGCTGGCCCAGCACCTGCTCCTCCTCCCCGGCTGAAATCATCAGAATTGACGTTCTCAGCCGATCCAATACTTTCCCGTTATTCCCTTTACTGAATAACCTTGTGAGAGACCTAGGTGCAAATAACTTGGCCCAGTGCATGCTGCCGGTGCATTAATGTTTTTTTTTTTTAAAAGGATGTTATATATTGTTAACAGAAACGTGATGCAAAGTTTGAAAAGTCAGGCAATCACTATGGAAACAGATGGAATTAGCAGAATGGTCTATTGATTGTAATGGTTATAGCTCTTGACTTACATATATACTAGATTGTAAGAACATATTAACCCTGGATTCAAATATGCATTTTGCAGGAATGGGAGTTTGTTGGTGATTTATATATGTTACATAGTTAACAGAGGAAAGCAAATCCAAGTCAACATAATTCATACCTATAATATTAACCCTTTTATAACCAAATATCCTGCTTCACAGGGCTTACATCAATCAGTGATAATCACCCATTATCCATCCCTGTCACCCTCAAAATATCACTACCATGTCTCTCCACACTGCAGAGTTTCAAACCCTTGCTTGTTTATATCAAGATCTTTATACTCCTCACCCGAATCACCCACTGAATGTATCGCCCACTGAATGTGTCACCCACTAACTGTATCACCCACTGTATGTATCATCTACTGAATGCATCACTCACTGACTGTATCACCCACTGAATGGATCACCCACTGACTGTATCGCCCACTGACTGTATTACCCACTGAATGCATCACCAACTGAATGTATCACCCACTGAATGTGTCACCCACTGACTGTATCACCCACTGAATGTATCACCCACTGACTGTGTCACCCACTGACTCTATCACCCATTGACTGTGTCACCCACTGAATGTATCACCCACTGACTGTATCACCCACTGAATGTATCACCTACTGACTGTATCACCATCCACTGAATGCATCATGCACTGAATGTGTCACCCACTGAATGTATCACCCACTGAACGTATCACCCACTGAATGTATCACCCACTGAATGTGTCACCCACTTAGTGCATCACCCTCTGACTGTATCTCCCACTGAATGTATCATCCACTCACTGTATCACCCACTGAATGTATCACCCACTGACTGTGTCACCCACTGAATGTATCACCCACTGACTATGTCACCCACTGAATGTATCACCCACTGACTGTATCACCCACTGAATGTATCGCCCACTGACTGTATCACCATCCACTGAATGCATCATCCACTGAATGTATCACCCACTGACTATATCACCCACTGACTGTTTCACCTACTGACTGTATCACCCACTGACTGTGTCACCCACTGAATGTATCAACCACTGAATGTATCACCCACTGACTGTGTCACCCACTGAATGTATCACCCACTGAATGTATCACCCACTGACTGTGTCACCCACTGAATGTATCACACACTGACTGTGTCACCTACTGACTGTATCATCCGCCCACTTAATGAATCACCTACTGACTGTATCATCCGCCCACTTAATGTATCACCCACTGAATGCATCTCCCACTGAATGCATCGCCCACTGATTGTATCTCCATCCACTGATTGTATCTCCATCCACTGAATGCATAGCCCACTGATTGTATCTTCATCCACTGAATGCATGGCCCACTGAATGTATCGCCCACTGAATGTATCACACACTGAATGCATCGCCCACTGACTGCATCTCCCACTGAATGCATCGTCCACTGATTGTATCTCCATTCACTGAATACATCGCCCACTGATTGTATCTTCATCCACTGAATGTATCGCCCACTGAATGCATCGCCCACTGAATGCATCGCCCACTGAATGTATCGCCCACTGAATGTATCACACACTGAATGTAACGCCCACTGAATGCATCGCCCACTGACTGTGTCACCCACTGACTGTATCAACCGCCCACTGAGTGCATCGCCCACTGACTGTATCGCCCACTGACTGTATCGCCCACAGATTGCATCACCCACTGAATGCATCGCCCATTGAATTTATCGCCCACTGAATGCATCGCCCACTGATTGTATCTCCAGCAACTGAATGCATCACACACTGAATGTATCACCCACTGAATGTATCGCCCACAGAATGTAACGCCCACTGAATGTATCGCCCGCTGAATGTATCATCCACTGAATGTATCATCCACTGACTGTATCACCCACTGATTGTATCTCCATCCACTCCAGTTCTTTACCTGTCTTCAGCATCACTTTCTGCTCCCACTCACCCCACCCTTCCCCCTGCATCTTCTTTCCCCTCTGTCTGCTTGTCACTATTATTACTTATTTACATCTTTTAAAAGAAAAAAGTAGGAGGTGGGGTTAATAACCAGATTAGCAAAAGAAGCTACTGTTCAGTGATTACAGGGTTGTTTCTCCCACATCCAGCATCCCTCCCTCCCTCTTAACTCTCTCCCCACATCTCCCTCCCTCCCCCGCCCTCCCTCTCTCTCCCACCTGACGTCAGTCAGTCTACTCTCTCAGTCTTTCTCAGTCACTGCAGGGTGCTGCTGTGTGCAGTTAGAAGGACCATGGATTTTCTGATACTGCTATCCTTGTGCCTAGTCAGCTGGAGAGGTAAATGGAGATCTATTCTGTTAGAGGAGGGATGGACAGAACCATCAACACACTGTCTATCTGTGCTCAGATTAATGATTATCATATAGTTAACCCTTAACTGTGAGGGACATGCAACATACAGCTTTGGGTGCCCACCACACTTTTACTAAAAAGGTGAATTCTGAGTGGAGATTTCATTTACAGTAAGAAAAAAACCCCCACTGTGGTTTAAATAGAATGTATTGATTATTTAAGCATTAAGCTCTGTGTGATGGGGGTTATGTTCCCCCCATAAATCAGATTTACAGGAGTTGTTTTATTCAGCTACATAAGGTAACTTTTGTATTTGAAAGGATTTAAGGGTCATGGTAGACTTTTGCTGAGCTCATGAAATGTAAGAAGTTGTTTTCAGTGCTAAGCATGGCAATATGTAGGTTCTTACATCACATATCGGCAGTAGGAGGTGCGGTTAGATGTATAAATGGACCAGAAGTGATACAGGCATCAGATCAGGTTTAAGATTTTGGCTACCATTCGTTGTGTACCTTTGTGCGTGTTTTACGGGCAATCATTGATAGGTTAGGCATTATGGTGAATGCTGGTGCAGCGTTTCTAAACATTTAATTGGTTTCCATGGTGACTGTTCCAACTAGGCTCCAGAATTGTTCTTTTAAGTAAACACTACATAGTGATGTGTTTGACTGGGACTGTATTTATTACTGTATATGTGTTAGTACCCTTCTCTCTTATGTAGCTATCTATGCACAAGTATTTTCACTGTGTATGTGAATGTTTTTCATATTCACAAATATAAATCTGATTTGTATGTCTAATGATCATTTACATCTACAATTTCTATGTTTCTATGTACTACTTTTTTTAAGTCGTGCAAGCTTTGTCTGTAGTCTCAATTTTTGCTATTCTAGCGAGACAAAGGTTACCTGGATTTACCTGTAATTTTTTTTAAATAAAGATAAAACATTTATGAATTAAAATATATAAAAAAAACTTTTGAAAAAATCACATTCACTTAACTTTAGAAAGTTCTCATGAAATCAAGCAACTCCAGTGTACACCTGTCCTCTTATGTTTAAGTAATTGTTTGGGTGGTATGGGGGGTTGATTGTTGTCATATTTGCTCTTCTCTGTGTTTTTATAAAGTTATATTTTAAACTATGATTTTGTGTTACCTGGGTATAAATATATGCTTTTCTCTCTTTGGCAGCCTGCATGGTTCTTTATGTTATCACTCTGGGCTTTGCTGTTAGACAGTGTGTGATTATGATCCTTCATTGCTTTGTAAGTGAATGTTAGCAAGTGGAATGTTGTGACTGATGCTGTGTATGATACATGCACTGTGAATGTGTGACATCTTGGTTCAGTAAACTTTTTGGTTATTCATTTTGATGGGTGTACCCCCCTGCTTCACCCCACCCTCTGTTACTTCTCCTTGTCCTTTCTTCTTCTGACACACTAGCCAAATTGTCTATCTTTTGACTTATACTGATGCATATTTAGAAATTCCAAAAGGATCTCCTTTTTCATAAACTGGATGCAACTGACCTCATGTCGTTATTCTCGACACGCCATCATTATAATAGGGATTTAGTGACGCCAGCATTCCCAACCCAAATTCTCATTTCAGTGTCCTCTTATCGTAGAATAGATTCAAGGAGCACCCTTCCTTCCTCGTATTACAGTCCTCATTATTCTGGTGTTAAATGACGCTATCTGCCCCCGCTGCCTGTGACCCCAGTATAATTATATAGGGGATTCCAATGTCCTCATAATACAAACAGCTCCAATGTTCTCTAAAATTATGCAAACTCTTTCAGAGATGCTATTATGAAAAGAAGTTCCCATGTCCCCACTTTGTAATGAGAGATCCACCACTTTTTCTTAAAAGAAAGTATTATTATTTCACTCTCATTTAAGCACAGAATTACAAGGTTCTCTATGAATTCTATTCAATAAACAGTTATACGTTCCAACAGATGTAGAGTCATAATGAGGGCACTTTTAAAATGTTATCACGCAGAATACTCACATCTATAACCGTCTATTCATTTTGTTGAACTTGTAGACTCTTCTTCAGTTGTGCGGATAAAACTCAATTTATTAACGTTGAGATTATTTGAAAATTACTGTAATAATCACTTAATATGACCTTCATAGAACAAATTACAGTGCTAGTCTCTGTTGTCTTTCTCAGACATATACATGCCCCACACCTGTTGAGATATCATTCATGTGCACGTATATTTAAAGTGACACTGCACACAAACTAGTGAACTCGCTCTCTTAGTATATTCCTTTAACTTCAATAATTATGTAATGTGCATAAAATAGTTGTAGATCGCTGATCCAGGATTAAAAAAATATTATTCAGAAATGATTCCTTTTTATAATGGGTTTTGGACAGTTAAAATGGAAGCAGGTGGGCAACACAATTTTCTTTTGAAATGCCAAATTGGCATGAGAAAAATGCCATAATATATTCAAATTGAAACAAAAAGAGAATCCCCACTTTTTGAAAAAAAAAAAAGAATCCATGTCAGAATCTCATCTAAAATTGACTGAGCTCAATTAAATGAAAATTTTGGAAGAAATCTGCTCCCAGCTTAATCATGGAAGGTTTCCTCCAGATTTTGCGCAAAATCATTTTTGAAAGCAGTAGGGTTCCATGACAATAGAAACCCCAGAGATGCTCACAGAATATTTCAACATGTGTATATATATATATGGAGTTTCCATATAAGGAATATCAACTTTATAATATTTATACAACCAAACTCGTCTACCGGAGAATAAACTCCAGTGTTTTCTATAAAGTCCCCAAGACAGGTGAAAAAACACATTTCAGATTGTAATAATGCCTAATTGCTAGCTCGAAATTTTATAGCACAACCCCACATCCCAATTGAAATCTTCTCCCCCTGTTTTTTTTTTTTTTTGTACATTACTCTGTAGAACCCCAGTTTGTTGTTTAAATAGACAACGTTAAAAGTGCTTTTTCACAAACATGGTTCTGTTAGTCCTCTTCCGTCCAAGTGATCCTCATGCTGGTTAAACTAATCTCTTCTAAGAACATGTACACATGGGTAAAATGCCTCTACTGTAATATCCTCACGCATGTTGCATTTTACACAAGAGGTCCTTCTATAAATTGCGTAATTCCACAATATAATGCTGCATTGTTAGTAAAATCTAGACTTGAGAGTGGTGCAACAGTGCTTTATGTTTTTTATTTAATGTTTTCTCTCTTATTATATAGACCAGTGTTTATTAGATATTAACATTGGCTTGTTGACCCACTCTAAAAAATGCAAATTTATCCATTGCAGTGAGGCTAACAGTACTGCTGCAGTAAATGTTTTATTGTATGGGGTTGCCCAGTACCCGATAAAGATTATGTGGTTGTTGCAACCAGTGTTAACCTATTGAAAATAGAATGTGGATCCACTTTGGATTCCGACCAAGGGATACCACTGGTATAGAAAGGAATACTTAATGTATCCATTTGTGGTGATGCAGTTTTTTTAGCAAACTAATCAGGGCTACTTTCTTCTACCAATCAAAGCAGGCAGTTATCAAATGATTAACTCTTATCAAAGAGCACCAGATTAAACTTTTTTTTTTCTGAGATATTATCAAGGAAAAGAGCAAATAGGATACAGCACCTTAGTTATTGTTATCTCTGATGTAAATGGTGTTCTTTTAAGTTAAAGTTCAACTTTCAATGATAATCCACAATATCTAAAATGATACACGTTCGTTGTTCCCAGAGATGTTACTGGTTGGTGCAAACTTTGAACATGCCTGAGTCCCGGAGGTTCTTGGCCATTGGTCCCATGTTTTCCTTATGATTTAGCGTTGTGGAGCAGGAGAATGGAGAGAGGTTCCTTCCTCTCTGGCATTCACTAGTCCAGACAGAAGATGCTCTGCTATGACATAATCCCCTCCGCCTTAGTCTCTACCAGCTAATAGCTGTTAAAGAATGCAGATACTGATCTCTACCACATGGAGCACAGACCGTGTAGATTCCAAAAGTTATGTACAGTAAGTAGGATTGGGGTATTTCTAGTCAAACTGCAGTGAGGTTCTCAAAATATGTTTGCTCTGCTACCTTTTAATCTCATAATATCACTGTGTACTTATGTCGCAGAAAGACAAAAAATAGAGGTTCTGCGCATCAAGTAGGTAGTGCACACCCAGGTGCTACTGCAGTTTATTAGGGGACACAATATAAACAAACGTTTCGGGTAACAAGCCCTTCCTGGGGACATTAGCACTGAGGAAGGACTTGTTGCCCGAAACGTTTGTTTATATTGTGTCATCTAATAAACTGCAGTAGCACCAGGGTGTGCACTACCTACTTGATGCGCAGAACTCCATTTTTGTCTATCTGCTTGTTACACTGTTGGAACTACAGTAAGGAGACCCTGCAGCTCGGATTTAACTGTTCATTTCTGTGTTCTTTATCTTTGATAATCGGTGGGCATCATTGATGCCTCTGTCTCATCCTATGCATAGTGTACTTATGGCGCATTTGAATTAGAACATACAAAATGTATATTCAGCTATGCAGACCATAGAATAATCTTTGTTTTCCCAATGTCTTCAATAACGATGTAAGTAATTATAAAAATATGTATTGTAAGTGGAAATACACAAATAAAAAACAGAAAAAAACTTAAACGGACTGTCTAAGCATCAAAACCACATCACCCTAATGCAGTGATTTTGGGGCATAGATGCTGCCTCTGCAGCATTGCAAATGAAAACACTGTTAAAGGGAATCTATATATCTATATTGTTAGCGTTACACAAATCTTTACTCCCCACTCCCCCTCCGGAGCTAAAATGATAAAAAAAATCCTTTTGTTACTTACTTGATTTTAGCGATGTTGTTTGTGGTGCTAGGTCAGCGCTCCGTTTCCTCCAAGTGCCACGAGGACATTAGACCCTCCCCATGGGGATTTTACTAATGCTGGACGTCCAACATCAGTTAGGTGACCGAGAGTCAATTAGCAACCTGGAAGCACCTCTAGTGCTTGTTTTTAGTATGGCTTTTACTGTAGGAAAGCATTGAATCAATTCTGTCCTTTGGTGATTTTCAAGATGCTGGATGTCCTCATTTAAAGCGTGAGGACAGCCAGTGTCATTTTTTTGAGTTCAATTCCATGTGAATCAAGTAAGCGCCTCTAATGGCTGTCTGGTAGACAGCTACTAGAGACAGTCTTGAAACTGCAGTGTTAACATTGCAGTTTCTCAAAAATTGCAATGATTTACATTGCAGGACTAAGTGGGACTGGGACACTGAACACCCAGACCACTTCAATGAGCTAAAGTGGTCTGGGTGACTATCGTGTCCCTTTAAAATGTAGACAGCCACTGGGGGTGGGTTCCAGACTTAACTAGGTGATTTGTTTTATTTTATATGATGTCTGGAAGTGTGCCTTTAAAAGTGGAAGTTTTTATTTTCTACAATTCTTTTTTTTTATATATTAGTAGAAATAGTTAAATGTATCACTGTCTTTTGTTTGCAATTTGAGATTTATTGGATTTCATTCACAATTTCTTACTGCAAGGCCATAAATTATACAAGTTATACTTGCTCCAACAAGTGAAATGTTTTGCTAATTGTTAAAAATGTACAAATTATGATATCATTTTGATTGAATTTTGCATTTACTATTTCAATATGCAGTTAGCAGTCCATTTATTAATATAATATTTGGTTTTAAAGTAGTAAAGCAGTTGTTTTTTTTGTAGGAAACATGATCATTTTTTTTAAAATAAAGGGGGACATTCACTGGTGAAACGCAAGTGGTGCAGTGGATAACAATGGGTCTTTCAATGTCAGTTCCTTACTTATAGAGCCCTGCATTCTCTGGTTTCAGAGGCTGCTGCAGGGACTCTGCAACTTGAAGTTTGGCACAGTATATATTTACAGCGCTTTGAAAGTTTTGGTATCTGAAAGACACGAGGGCTGCTTTTAGCAACAGTTAACACATACATCCAGAAAAACAGCTGCAGCATTGCTTGAAACATTGGTTTTGTCTTCTCTGGAATCATGTTAAGGTCAACATTGCTTGATAGAAAACAACCCTTTCAAAACAAATATTTAAAATAAGTAAGGTCAAATAATTTTTTAATCATGGTAGCGCTCCCTGTTTGCCATTTTGTGTGTTTATTACATTATTTGGGAACTTCAAAAGATGTGTGACAAAGAGTCCCTAGGACTTTTGTGACCTCTTCGAATTTTGGATTGTGTCCAGATTCCCAAGCTTACTTAGTCCACATGGATGTGTCTCCAATTTGCCTAGGAGACTATGTACTAGAACTTTTTAGGTTCAAGGTGCCCTTAATATATCAATATTTTTCCAAGGCACCCCAAGTCAAAAAATGTTCTAGGTTGTATATATGTACAGCGCTGCGGCATATACTGGGCCCCTAATCTTGGGAGTGGCACTGCTGTATTATTTAAAGAAACAAACCAGGCACAATAAACACTACATTATGTTGTAGTGGTTATGGTGCCAGTAGTGCCCTCCCAGGGTAAGTAGTCAAACTGTTTAAGAACCGTTTGACAACTTACCTGGGGTCTGCCGGGATAGGGGCTGTAGTGTGTGTGTGGCGGGGGGGGGTGCAATATGTGTGTGTGAGGGGTGAAATATTGGTGCGTGAGTGGTGGAGTATGTGTGAGGGTTGCAGTGTGCATGTGTGTGAGGGGTGCGTGTGCGTGCACAGGGGTGCAGTGTGCCTGTGTGTGTAAGGGACGCAGTGTGTGTACAGGGGTGCATTGTGTTTGTGAAGGATGTAGTTTGTGTGTGTATGTGGGGCAGTTTGTGCAAGAGGGGTACAGTGTGTGTGTGAGGGGTACAGTGTGTGGGGGGCAGGTTGTGTGAGGGGTACGGTGTGTGTGTACAGGTGGGGCAGTGTGTGTGTATGGGGGTAATTGTGTATTTGGGGGGTAATTGTGTGCATGGGGGGTTAATTGTGTGCATTGGGGGTTAATTGTGTGTATGGGGGGTTAGTGTAGGTGTATGGGGGGCAGTGTGTGTGTATGAGGGGGTAATTGTGTGTATGCGGGGTAGTGTGTGTGTATGGGGAAGCTATTGTGGGGTCTGTGGGGGTAGGACGTCAAATTAATAAAGTTATACTTTCACTTTTTTTTTTAAATAAAAATGATATCCCCCCCCCCTCCCTGCTTACCTTTGCCTGGGATGGGGGACATTTCCTGTAATCCGTGGTGGTCCTGGTGGTGACAGTGAACTCTAGAAGCCTCAGGAGCTGCTAGAGTTAAAACTTGCGAGATTGTAACTGTGGTAACCGCTGCAACGCTCTGAGCTCGCGAGAGGAGAACCTGGCGGAGCTGCAAGTTAGAGCTCCCCCGGGTCCTCTCTCCCTCCCCTGCTGGCTGTCAGCAAAGTGCTAGCGGGCCGGTGAGGGAGATCTCTGATAATAGCACCGAGAAAATATCTTTCGGCTAGGGCGCAACGGCACACAGTTTGGGAACTGCTCTAATAGAAGTTTATTATTTTTATAGAGTGGTGTTTCCCAACCACATCCTCAAGGATTTCAAACAGTTGGGGATTTCGGGATTTCCCTGTTCTGTTCCAGATCTGATACAGATCTGTTTTTATATGTCAGTTATATACTGATATTTGAGAATTCCGTACATATATGTATATGTGTACATACCTGCTTGTAACATGCCTCCCAACATCAGCACACTGTAAATCAGGACAATGGTGGACACTGGCGGGAGAGGAAAAGGGGAGGCAGATCAGTGATGTGGTTGCATGACTAGCGCTACACACTTTTAGGGACATCTGGGATCAAAGTTGGGACAGGACCTAAAAATCGTGATTGTCCTGCTGAAAGTTGGATAATTTGAGGCCTGTTGCAATGTGTTTAAATCTTTGGCAACAGTGAGTGTATGCAGATGTGTACAAGCATGCAGGGCTAAAGGATCACTATAGGCACCCAGACCATTTTATCTTGATGACGTGGTCAGGAGGCATTGGCCCTTTAGTTTCAATCCTGCAATCTAAAACATTGACAGTGTTTTTAAATACACCTTTAGTGACCGTGGTGCTAACTGTTAGGAGAGGGTACTTCCGTGGCAATGACCCAGTTTGATTCAGATATCTGACGTTCGACGTTGAACGTCATCAAATGCTGATCATAATGATATATTGGATACACTGCTTCCCTATGAGAAGCATTGATTGGGCCATGTGCTTCTCGTCCCCAAAACTTCTGCTAGTGCTGCCAAGGACAAATAGTCAGAAAAGCATTTATCAATAGGTGTTAGCTATCAAATGTAATAAGTAAATTTAATGATTGCTATGGGCCCGCTAAATCGGATTGAGTTGCTAAAACCTATATATATCTAATGTAATTGGATTTGTAATTTTAACAGGAATAACATTGGTCCTGACTGTGAAGTTCCAGTAGCCAATAAACTCCTGATAAAACATACCTGCTGGAATGTAATCAAGGCCATTGTTATATATAAACAGAGAAACTTTGGGGAAAAGTTCTAAAAGTGAAGCAAATAGAATGGACATTCCATAACATTCATTGTTAATTGCTCCACTTACGGTGCTTTGACCCTGAATCATTCTTTATGCACAGCTTGCCATGTTTTATTGACTATTTAATGTTGGTTTCAAGGCTTATGGTTTCATGGACTCATGAAGTTCATTTACAAAATTCTTAGGTAATTATGTACTGCTAAACAATGGAAAAACACATAGTGCTGGCATTAAGGATGTCAAGTTAGCTTCATTTTCTTTGATTAATTACTTTTTCGGTATGGTTTTTTTTATTTAACACAGGTTTTAGGTGTATAGTTATGCTTTTCATGAAACCATCTGTTTTTTTAATTACTGTTTAAAGGAACACTCTGGCTTAAATAAATACATGTATTTACAGTCAGGTACATAAATATTGGGACAATAGTAATCTTTTTGGCTCCATACACCACCACAATGGATTTGAAATGAAATGAACAAGATGTGCTTTAACTGCAGACTTTCAGCTTTAATTTGAGGGTATTTACATCCAAATCAGGTGAACGGTGTAGGAATTACAACAGTTTAAAGGCTCATTAAAGGCTCTGTAAGGGACATTAAAAGGCTCTGTCAGGGGCATTGAAAGACTCTGTAAGGGGAATTTAAATTCTCTGTTAGGGACATTAAAAGGCTCCCTAAGGGACATTAAATGGCTCTATAGGCACCCAGACCACTTCAGCTTAATAGAGAAACTGCTATGTTTATAATAGGGTTAATCCAGCCTCTAGTGGCTGTCTCATTGACAGCCGCTAGAGGGCTTCCGTGCTTCTCACTGTGATTTTCACAGTGAGAAGATGCCAGCGTCCATAGGAAAGCATTGTGAATGCTTTCTTATGGACTGGCTGAATGCTCTTGCGCATTCAGCCGGTGATGGAAAAAGAGGGAGGAGAGGAGGAGAGCTCCCTGCCCAGCGCTGGTTTAACCCCTTCCTCCCCCCCCCCCCCAGAGCCCGGCGGGAGGGGGTCCCTGAGGGTGGGACCGCAAGTGCCAGAAATGAAGATTGTCCTGAAGCACAATGCATACTTTGCAATAAAATATTGCCAAACAGTTCATTACCACCTGCTAAATGATGTCGCCATTTTGAGCAAAACCATGCAGAGTACAAAAATAAAGACATTGACTTCTTTAAGCGAAAGCTAAAGGAGTATCGTAAGAGTAAACAATATATGAGCAAAAAAATGTAAAATGCCAATGAAAAAGCCATAGAGGCTTCTTACAGAGTGAGTTGCACTTGCAGGAGAAGCACACACAATTGGGGAATCACTAATTAAACCATGTGCAAAAGAAATCGTATATATTTTAAGTGAGAAGTTGAGTAAAAAAATTCAAGCTGTACCCCTTCCTAACAACACAGTTTTGCACCGTATGCATGATCTTGCTGATGACATCCATACTGAACTAATTTCTCGACTGCATCAATGTGATGGGTACTCACTTCAATTAGACAAGTCCACAGATATTGCAGGACTTTTAGTTTTGTTAGTTTTTGTTAGATATAATTTTGACAAACAGATTGAAGACGACTTGCTTTTGTGTGAAAGTTTGAAAACTCATACCACTGGTGAAAACATCTTTTTTTTTTTTTTTTATAGTTCTTTATTTTTGTGCAATTATTGACAAAGCAGCGTGCAGAGGTATAGTAAAAAATATGTTGTGCTTTCGTCAGGCTAAGGGAGCGTTTGCATGCTGTGCGAGGTCTGAGCCCATGGGCCCGAGATGTGGGTTGTGCGGTCGCTAGTGTATGCAAGCAGGTTTAAAGCCCCTGACCAAGGGGATTGCGGGGGGGGAGGAGTATTATCCGCTACTTAATGTGGACTCAATATCCGCCGTCTCACCAACGTGTTCGTGTATTAGGCCTGTACCTTACTGAGCCTAGGTAGGTAAACATTTGGTAAACGTGTAACGAAACAATCAAGGAAACTTTTAGTAGTGTGTGGACAAAAGTCTAGTCTGGTCTAGCTTGTCATTTGGGGTTGTCTGTCTCCTGACGGTTCGCTACTCTGGGGACGATTGGTGTTATGGAGGCCGGGTCCCATGTTGCCGCCAGTGTTCCAGAGGTGGCGGGTGTGTCCGGGGGTGAGAGTCCCAGGGTCTCCAGGAAGGTTGATGCTTCTTTCATGGAAGGCAAAGTGTGCACTGTCCCGCCTTGGGTCACTGCTAGAGAGCCGTTCCACCCCCATCGATAGGTCAGTCCTGCAGCTCGCAGCATTGTCGTGACCGGGCTAAACGATTTGCAGAGTAGGTGCGTGGACCGTGTCAGATTTTGGAAGAAGGCAAGGTTCGAGTTTTCAAAGGTGAGTGGCGTTTTGCCCTTTAGCGCTGACATTATTTGGAATTTGTCAGGTGGACTGGAGGTGAGAGGGGTGTGGAAGACGGTAGACACTGTCAATTGCCACCTTCTTGGCCACTGCATGTGGCAGGATTGTGTCCAGCATTCTCCTGATGTAATGAGGCAGTTCCTCCGTGTAATCGTTGCGGGGATGCCCCTAATCTTGATGTGGGTGCTTCTTTGGCGGTCTTCCAGTGTGGTAAGCTTAAGTGACATAGATTGTTGTTGTGTTTGCAGTGTTTTTATAGTGTCCGCCATAGTGGAGAGATGGGATTGTACCTTTGTTAAGGTATTTTCGTTGGTTCTGATTCTCTCCGATACTGCCCGTACTTCCGTTTTGAGGATGGCCAAGTCGGCCGCCAGCATCTTGTGAATTTCGGCTAGCAAGAGTTTTAGGTCCTTTTTGGTGGTTGGTGCTGAGTCATCGGATGGTTCTTGTGACCCAGCGGAGGATGTTGGTGAGTGTCGCGGGCCTTCAGGTCCGTGTTGTCATGGTGCCGCATCCTGATCCTTGTTGGGAATGTCGCTTGTGGTAGAGGGCTTAGTTTGTGCCGGCCGTTGGAACATAGCTCCTATGTCTCTGCCTTCTGCTGGGGTGTGCGACTCTTGGGAGCGCCTGCCCATGCCCGGCATAATTGTCGGCGAAGTAGACGGTGTTAGGGTATAAGGCGTCTCAGCACTGTTTGTTGCGGTGCCTTCCAGGAGACTCTCCAGGCCTTGCAGCATGCGTTAGGCCCCGGTTTTGTGTTTCTGTCTTGCTGAGTTTGGTGGTTGAAAGAAAGGCATCGATCGATGCTACTTGCCCTTCTGGTCCTGGTCGTGCTTGTGTGGTGGCTGGATTGGGCTCAGTTCTGCTGATATCTGCAGGATTATGTATTTATTTTAGTGAGCTTTGAGAAATGGCGTCTGGTCAGGATGCTTGGTAAGCTCCGCCCCCTGGCGGTGAGAACATCTTTAACTGTATCCAGAAGTTCATGAACACACAGTATAAATTGGGACAAATGTGTAGATGTGTGCAGTGATGGTGCCAAAACAATGGTTGAGAAAGTGGCAGGTGCTGTGACACGAATAAGAAATGTAGCAAAAAAACACCATCAGTTCTGAATGTGTTCTTCACAGACATGCAAAGGTAGCTAAAAATATTTCAATCTCATTTAAAATTGTACTAGGTGAATTTGTCCAGATTATTAATTTTATAAAAAGCCGACCATTACAGTCACGACTATTTAAAATTATATGTGAAGATATGGGTAGTCACCACTCTGCTCTGCTTTTGCATTCAGAAGTCCGTTGGCTATCACGAGGTAAAGTCTTTGTTAGAATGTTTGAATTGAGTCAAGAGTTGTCTGCATATTTCCAGGATTGTAAATTTGGATTATCTGATCGATTAACAAACATTCTGTGGTTATCCAAAGTAGCATATCTTGCAGACATATTCACAAAATTAAATGACGTATGTTTATCACTCCAAGGAAAAAACACTAATATTTTTAATGCATGAGATGAAATATTTTCACTGTCTCGTAAGTTTTGGACCTCATCCGTTGAGCAAAATAATTTGAACCCTTTGCCAACTTCGCCAGGGCTACATTTTCTCCACATCCAAGATGGCTGCCGCTACCTGCTCTTCCCGTAAGGTCAGAAACAGAAGAGATCACGGGAGCGCGATCTTAAGCCCATCCTGCGATCAGCCCTGCCACTCGCCCTGCCATCAGCCAGCCACTTAGACTTAGTTCGTCCATGAGAGAGCCTGCCCAGCTGCCAGCCAGCCCACCCAGCCCACCCAGCCGTCAGCAAGCCCGCCCAGCAGTCAGCCGTCAGCCATTTGCTATCTCTCGTGGTAGAGGAGTGATAGAGAGTGGAACTGATAGTTCAAGCTCTGTTATTGTCATAAATAGAAAGCTCTGTTAGGTAGGGACATAGAAATCTCTGTTAGGTAGAGACATAGAAAGCTCTGTTAGGTAGGGACATTGAAAGACTCTGTTAGGGACATTGAAAGACTCTGTCGGGGCATTGCAATTCTCTGCTAGGGACATTAAAAGGCTCTGTAAGGGACATTAAAAGGCTCTGTCAGGGGCATTGAAAGACTCCGTCAGGGGCATTGAAATTCTCTGCTAGGGACATTAAAAGGCTCTGTCAGGTGCATTCAAAGACTCTGTCAGGGGCATTGAAATTCTCTGCTAGGGACATTAAAAGGCTCTGTAAGGGACATTAAAAGGCTCTGTCAGTAGCATTGCAATTCTCTGTTAGGGACATTAAAAGGCTCTGTAAGGGACATTAAAAGGCTTTCTCTGGGGCATTGAAAGACTGTCAGGGGCATTGAAATTCTCTGCTAGGGATATTAAGAGGCTCTGTAAAGGACATTAAAAGGCTCTGTCAAGGGCATTGAAAGACTCTGTCAGGGGCATTGAAATTCTCTGCTTGGGCCATTAAAAGGCTCTGTAAGGGACATTAAAAGGCTCTGTCAGGGGCATTGAAATTCTCTGCTAGGGACATTTAAAGGCTCTGTAAGGGACATTAAAAGGCTCTGTCAGGGGCATTGAAAGACTCTGTAAGGGGAATTGAAATTCTCTGTTAGGGACATTAAAAGGCTCCGTAAGGGACATTAAAAGGTTCTATAGGCACCCAGACCACTTCAGCTTAATGAAGTGGTCTGGGTGCCAGGTCCAGCTAGGTTTAACCCTTTTTTTATAAACATTGCAGTTTCAGATAAACTGCTATGTTTATAATAGGGTTAATCCAGCCTCTAGTGGCTGTCTCATTGACAGTCGCTAGAGGGCTTCCGTGCTTCTCACTGTGATTTTCACAGTGAGAAGATGCCAGCGTCCATAGATAAGCATTGTGAATACTTTCCTATGTACTGGCTGAATGCACGCGCGCATTCAGCCGGTGACGGAAGGAGAGGGAGGACAGGAGGAGGAGAGCTCCCTGCCTGGCGCTGGAGAAAGAGGTAAGTTTAACCCCTTCCTCCCCCCCAGAGCCCGGCGGGAGGGGGTCCCTGAGGGTGGGACCACAAGTGCCAGAAATGAAGATTGTCCTGAAGCACAATGCGTACTTTGCAATAAAATATTGCCAAACAGTTCATTACCACCTGCTAAATGATGTCGCCATTTTGAGCAAAACCACACAGAGTACAAAAATAAAGACATTGACTTCTTTAAGCGAAAGGTAAAGGAGTATCGTAAGAGTAAACAATATATGAGCAAAAAAATGTAAAATGCCAATGAAAAAGCCATAGAGGCTTCTTACAGAGTGAGTTGCCGCATAGCACTTGCAGGAGAAGCACAAACAATTGGGGAATCACTAATGAAACCATGTGCAAAAGAAATCGTATATATTTTAAGTGAGAAGTTGAGTAAAAAAAATTCAAGCTGTGCCCCTTCCTAACAACACAGTTTTGCACCGTATGCATGATCTTGCTGATGACATCCATACTGAACTAATTTCTCGACTGCATCAATGTGATGGGTACTCACTTCAATTAGACAAGTCCACAGATATTGCAGGACTTTTAGTTTTGTTAGTTTTTGTTAGATATAATTTTGACAAACAGATTGAAGACGACTTGCTTTTGTGTGAAAGTTTGAAAACTCATACCACTGGTGAAAACATCTTTTTTTTTTTTTTTTATAGTTCTTTATTTTTGTGCAATTATTGACAAAGCAGCGTGCAGAGGTATAGTAAAAAATATGTTGTGCTTTCGTCAGGCTAAGGGAGCGTTTGCATGCTGTGCGAGGTCTGAGCCCATGGGCCCGAGATGTGGGTTGTGCGGTCGCTAGTGTATGCAAGCAGGTTTAAAGCCCCTGACCAAGGGGATTGCGGGGGGGGAGGAGTATTATCCGCTACTTAATGTGGACTCAATATCCGCCGTCTCACCAACGTGTTCGTGTATTAGGCCTGTACCTTACTGAGCCTAGGTAGGTAAACATTTGGTAAACGTGTAACGAAACAATCAAGGAAACTTTTAGTAGTGTGTGGACAAAAGTCTAGTCTGGTCTAGCTTGTCATTTGGGGTTGTCTGTCTCCTGACGGTTCGCTACTCTGGGGACGATTGGTGTTATGGAGGCCGGGTCCCATGTTGCCGCCAGTGTTCCAGAGGTGGCGGGTGTGTCCGGGGGTGAGAGTCCCAGGGTCTCCAGGAAGGTTGATGCTTCTTTCATGGAAGGCAAAGTGTGCACTGTCCCGCCTTGGGTCACTGCTAGAGAGCCGTTCCACCCCCATCGATAGGTCAGTCCTGCAGCTCGCAGCATTGTCGTGACCGGGCTAAACGATTTGCAGAGTAGGTGCGTGGACCGTGTCAGATTTTGGAAGAAGGCAAGGTTCGAGTTTTCAAAGGTGAGTGGCGTTTTGCCCTTTAGCGCTGACATTATTTGGAATTTGTCAGGTGGACTGGAGGTGAGAGGGGTGTGGAAGACGGTAGACACTGTCAATTGCCACCTTCTTGGCCACTGCATGTGGCAGGATTGTGTCCAGCATTCTCCTGATGTAATGAGGCAGTTCCTCCGTGTAATCGTTGCGGGGATGCCCCTAATCTTGATGTGGGTGCTTCTTTGGCGGTCTTCCAGTGTGGTAAGCTTAAGTGACATAGATTGTTGTTGTGTTTGCAGTGTTTTTATAGTGTCCGCCATAGTGGAGAGATGGGATTGTACCTTTGTTAAGGTATTTTCGTTGGTTCTGATTCTCTCCGATACTGCCCGTACTTCCGTTTTGAGGATGGCCAAGTCGGCCGCCAGCATCTTGTGAATTTCGGCTAGCAAGAGTTTTAGGTCCTTTTTGGTGGTTGGTGCTGAGTCATCGGATGGTTCTTGTGACCCAGCGGAGGATGTTGGTGAGTGTCGCGGGCCTTCAGGTCCGTGTTGTCATGGTGCCGCATCCTGATCCTTGTTGGGAATGTCGCTTGTGGTAGAGGGCTTAGTTTGTGCCGGCCGTTGGAACATAGCTCCTATGTCTCTGCCTTCTGCTGGGGTGTGCGACTCTTGGGAGCGCCTGCCCATGCCCGGCATAATTGTCGGCGAAGTAGACGGTGTTAGGGTATAAGGCGTCTCAGCACTGTTTGTTGCGGTGCCTTCCAGGAGACTCTCCAGGCCTTGCAGCATGCGTTAGGCCCCGGTTTTGTGTTTCTGTCTTGCTGAGTTTGGTGGTTGAAAGAAAGGCATCGATCGATGCTACTTGCCCTTCTGGTCCTGGTCGTGCTTGTGTGGTGGCTGGATTGGGCTCAGTTCTGCTGATATCTGCAGGATTATGTATTTATTTTAGTGAGCTTTGAGAAATGGCGTCTGGTCAGGATGCTTGGTAAGCTCCGCCCCCTGGCGGTGAGAACATCTTTAACTGTATCCAGAAGTTCATGAACACACAGTATAAATTGGGACAAATGTGTAGATGTGTGCAGTGATGGTGCCAAAACAATGGTTGAGAAAGTGGCAGGTGCTGTGACACGAATAAGAAATGTAGCAAAAAAACACCATCAGTTCTGAATGTGTTCTTCACAGACATGCAAAGGTAGCTAAAAATATTTCAATCTCATTTAAAATTGTACTAGGTGAATTTGTCCAGATTATTAATTTTATAAAAAGCCGACCATTACAGTCACGACTATTTAAAATTATATGTGAAGATATGGGTAGTCACCACTCTGCTCTGCTTTTGCATTCAGAAGTCCGTTGGCTATCACGAGGTAAAGTCTTTGTTAGAATGTTTGAATTGAGTCAAGAGTTGTCTGCATATTTCCAGGATTGTAAATTTGGATTATCTGATCGATTAACAAACATTCTGTGGTTATCCAAAGTAGCATATCTTGCAGACATATTCACAAAATTAAATGACGTATGTTTATCACTCCAAGGAAAAAACACTAATATTTTTAATGCATGAGATGAAATATTTTCACTGTCTCGTAAGTTTTGGACCTCATCCGTTGAGCAAAATAATTTGAACCCTTTGCCAACTTCGCCAGGGCTACATTTTCTCCACATCCAAGATGGCTGCCGCTACCTGCTCTTCCCGTAAGGTCAGAAACAGAAGAGATCACGGGAGCGCGATCTTAAGCCCATCCTGCGATCAGCCCTGCCACTCGCCCTGCCATCAGCCAGCCACTTAGACTTAGTTCGTCCATGAGAGAGCCTGCCCAGCTGCCAGCCAGCCCACCCAGCCCACCCAGCCGTCAGCAAGCCCGCCCAGCAGTCAGCCGTCAGCCATTTGCTATCTCTCGTGGTAGAGGAGTGATAGAGAGTGGAACTGATAGTTCAAGCTCTGTTATTGTCATAAATAGAAAGCTCTGTTAGGTAGGGACATAGAAATCTCTGTTAGGTAGAGACATAGAAAGCTCTGTTAGGTAGGGACATTGAAAGACTCTGTTAGGGACATTGAAAGACTCTGTCGGGGCATTGCAATTCTCTGCTAGGGACATTAAAAGGCTCTGTAAGGGACATTAAAAGGCTCTGTCAGGGGCATTGAAAGACTCCGTCAGGGGCATTGAAATTCTCTGCTAGGGACATTAAAAGGCTCTGTCAGGTGCATTCAAAGACTCTGTCAGGGGCATTGAAATTCTCTGCTAGGGACATTAAAAGGCTCTGTAAGGGACATTAAAAGGCTCTGTCAGTAGCATTGCAATTCTCTGTTAGGGACATTAAAAGGCTCTGTAAGGGACATTAAAAGGCTTTCTCTGGGGCATTGAAAGACTGTCAGGGGCATTGAAATTCTCTGCTAGGGATATTAAGAGGCTCTGTAAAGGACATTAAAAGGCTCTGTAAAGGGCATTGAAAGACTCTGTCAGGGGCATTGAAATTCTCTGCTTGGGCCATTAAAAGGCTCTGTAAGGGACATTAAAAGGCTCTGTCAGGGGCATTGAAATTCTCTGCTAGGGACATTTAAAGGCTCTGTAAGGGACATTAAAAGGCTCTGTCAGGGGCATTGAAAGACTCTGTAAGGGGAATTGAAATTCTCTGTTAGGGACATTAAAAGGCTCCGTAAGGGACATTAAAAGGTTCTATAGGCACCCAGACCACTTCAGCTTAATGAAGTGGTCTGGGTGCCAGGTCCAGCTAGGTTTAACCCTTTTTTTATAAACATTGCAGTTTCAGATAAACTGCTATGTTTATAATAGGGTTAATCCAGCCTCTAGTGGCTGTCTCATTGACAGTCGCTAGAGGGCTTCCGTGCTTCTCACTGTGATTTTCACAGTGAGAAGATGCCAGCGTCCATAGATAAGCATTGTGAATGCTTTCCTATGTACTGGCTGAATGCACGCGCGCATTCAGCCGGTGACGGAAGGAGAGGGAGGACAGGAGGAGGAGAGCTCCCTGCCTGGCGCTGGAGAAAGAGGTAAGTTTAACCCCTTCCTCCCCCCCAGAGCCCGGCGGGAGGGGGTCCCTGAGGGTGGGACCACAAGTGCCAGAAATGAAGATTGTCCTGAAGCACAATGCGTACTTTGCAATAAAATATTGCCAAACAGTTCATTACCACCTGCTAAATGATGTCGCCATTTTGAGCAAAACCACACAGAGTACAAAAATAAAGACATTGACTTCTTTAAGCGAAAGGTAAAGGAGTATCGTAAGAGTAAACAATATATGAGCAAAAAAATGTAAAATGCCAATGAAAAAGCCATAGAGGCTTCTTACAGAGTGAGTTGCCGCATAGCACTTGCAGGAGAAGCACAAACAATTGGGGAATCACTAATGAAACCATGTGCAAAAGAAATCGTATATATTTTAAGTGAGAAGTTGAGTAAAAAAAATTCAAGCTGTGCCCCTTCCTAACAACACAGTTTTGCACCGTATGCATGATCTTGCTGATGACATCCATACTGAACTAATTTCTCGACTGCATCAATGTGATGGGTACTCACTGCAATTAAACAAGTCCACAGATATTGCAGGACTTTTAGTTTTGATGGTTTTTGTTAGATATAAAGACAAAGTATCGAAATCGACTTGACTCAACTGCAGACATGCAAATACAATTGTCAACAATTAAGCCAGATATAAAATGAATTTGCCAGAAAAGAGAACATTACACTCATTGAAAGGTTTACGCTGCATATTCTACGGCACACATTTTTTTGTTGGGGCTCCAAAGTTTTGCTAAACCATGTCAAAGGGTTCCACGGGAAAAATGTATTGGAAAACCCTGGCCTAGTGGCAAGTGGAAATGTGGAGCCCTGCTGTGTGTGGCATTATATTTGCAAATGTAATTATATTTGTATGTTGGTTTTCCTATGTGTGCAATATTAGTATGTGTGTATGTATGTGTTTCTATGTGTGAAATGTAGGAGAAAAATTAGGGCATTAGCCACCATGACTAAAGTAGTAGCATGCAGTTCTGAAGCGCAAATCCTATTATGTTCAGCCAGTCTCTAGGCCTTCCAAATGTTTGCAAATTGCAATTCACATGAAGCCCAACAAGACTTACATGTTGGCTGAGCATTAAGATTATTGCGTAACTTGCAATGGTGCCATTGCCGCAGGATGTCCAGTAGCTATAGGGTGGAGGGGAAAGTGGGTTAAATTTACCCAAATCTGTCCAATGTGGACACCACCGTTCTATTCTGCCTGGTTTTCTTCACCTCCTGCCACTAAAGCTGATTTCAGTGATGTATCCTTGCACATCATAAGATATGACAAAGCTGGACTGCACTTTTATGTCAAGAGGAGGAAAAATACTAAGACAAGTAGTTCCTACTTTATCTTAGTATATTTTTTGACTAAAGATTTTGTCTTTATGAAATACTCGTTTTGGATGGGGGTGTCAGAGCTGCTTTAACATACCTTAGTCTATCTCCTCAATTCTCTCCCAACCCGCCAGCTATTTCCCCAAAGTCCACCCTGGTCGATTTAATATTGTTCGGTAATCTTTACAAATAATTCAATATTTTTGGATACATTTTAAAAGCGATTTAATATCATGAAAAATATTAACTTTTTTATATATTGATCTATTTTTTTATATATGCTATGTTTTTTGATATTTTAATATGTTGGAAAATAATTGTAAAAGTATATCTACAAATATTAAATTGTGTGTGTGCACATACGCCCCTCCCAATATTACTTGAGGCCTCAGTGGGTGCCTCGGAGGGATGATATGTTAACATTATACAAAAACAGATGTGAGAAAGGCTGAACTTGATGGATGCATGTCTCTTTTCAGCCTATGTAACTATGTAAATTTGGTAAGCTTAACCCACAATATTCAATCAAGACCTTTGTAAACTAAGTGACTGATAACATTGTTGTCAAAGGAGACAATTGGGATATGATATAGTAATTTAAAAAAAAAAACACTACCTGATTTACCATACTGGACCCAGTTATGTGGTGTATTAGGGCGTGAGATGGAAGGCACAGAGCTGCACAAGGTGCCCATCACTTAGCTATGTTACAACAACTCTTCTAGGTAGTCAGAGGAGTGGAGGTGGTCAACCGGCCAGACCTCTGAACTCCACAACTGACCTATCGCTTACAGTGTAGTGGAACCTCTGATTAATGATATCAAACGTGATTGAGCATTGTATAAGTACCCACGAAGAAATATCTTTATCATTCAGAACACAGCCTTTCTTTTTTTTCTCACTAATTCTTTTTTTTTGTTAGACCAGGCACTATAGCAGTACCATATAGGAGAAGTCTGAAATACATTAATATTTTGCATATATCTAATTTTCCTATACAAGTGAACAGAACAGAACAATACAGAAATTAAAGAAAAGAGAGAGGAGAATAAGTTCTGCTATGATATATACAATAAACCTAAATGTAAATGACATTCAATTAGCTAAAGATGTATTTAAGCCATGGGTTCCTAGTTTAATAAAATATTAGTATTAGCTTTTGTATAGCGCCAACATATTACACAGTACTTGACCATTATAGAAAGGGGATATGAAGAAGGTCCAGTTTACAATATAAAATAAAAGGTAGACGATATATATTGTTAGGTATTCATTCAACAAGCAGCAATTAAATTTTTTTTATAATCCCATTCTTCCCAGTGTCTCTCTTACATATCTAGTTTCTCTCATTGGTGTAGCCGGAGGTGTGTTTGAGCATCTTCTCCAATCACCTCCCTCTTTTTCTTCTCTCTGTTTTTGCTCTCCATCATAATTTATCTGGCAATCCAAAAGCAGAGCATCAATTTCAGTATGCATTCCACCTTAGTATGTAGTTCTGTTTTTTTCTTGCATGTCAAGGATATTCATCTGCTCCTTATTAGGTCTTACAATTTGGTAGATCCAACCTCAGATGGACAGCACGTGACAAACTACACCATGTTGTGATTTATTTAACAAAAATAAAGCCTTGTGTGAAAAAATGAAGTACACCTTACGATTCAATAGGTTGTAAAACCACCTATCGCAGTGCTAACTTGAAGTAGATTAAACTCTGCGCTGCGCCAATCCACATCTCCTCATATAGATGCATTGAATCAATGCATCTCTATAGGGAACATTCAGAGCTTCCATGCAGAGCGTGGAGATGTGGAATGTTGGTGCACACTGTGCAGCACTGGACTAGGAAGCACGTCTAGCGGCTGTTTACGTTACTGTCATTAGAGGTGTTTTTAGGCAGCAATGTAAACACTGTCTTTTCTCTTAAACACCACTGTGAACGGTGGTACTCTAGTTGCTCATTACTAGCTTTGTGCATATATGAGGATATGTCGTGTTAAAAGACAACTGTCACCAAACTTTCATTTCTCCTTTTATTACATGCAGTTAAATTAAATGATATTTTTCTTAAAGGGATACTATAGTCACCAGAACAACAGCAGCGTAATGTAGTTGTTCTGGTGAGTATAGTATGTCCCTGCAGACATTTTTATTTAAACACTGCCTTTTCAGATAAAAGCTGTGTTTATATTGCTGCCAAGGGACACCTCCAGTGGCTGTCATTCAGATGGCCAATAGAATTGCTTCCTGGGTCAGTGCTGCACAATGTGCTGCATTGCCCCAGGTAGCACCTATGTGGGAAGCACCCATGGGAAAGCAGTGGATTGGCTGAGATTATCAACTCTTATGATCTTGGCCAAGGAGGTGGATCGGGGGCAGTGTTTTTTTTACCCTATTTAAGTAAGGCATGGGGGGGGGGCTGTAACCTAAATATTATTTTTAGCACCATAGGGTCAGGAATACACATTTGTATTTCTGACTCTATAGTGTTCCTTTAAATTATGTATTTTGATATTTTGGATAACATTTTTATTTGGCTGGGCAGCCATTTTGGGTCAGACTCTGTTATCTGACCAACTGTAGTTCAATCTAAATGACTGCCACTGTGATTGCTCTGTGTGAAACTGCTACAACCGGAAAGTTAGGATGAGCAGCAGGTGGTCAGATAATAGTAGAATCTCACCCAACATGACTGCTCAGAGAGATACATCATTTAAAAAATATAATAATTATTATATATATATATATGTATATATTAGTAAGTTTCCGTACATGTAATAAAGTTTTAAAAAGTGAAATTTTGATGACAGTTGTCTGTCCTTTAATACTATGTTCCTGTTGTGAACTTCACAATGTTCTGAAATGATCAGTCAGTATTCTCATTGGTCAGTATTAGTCAGTATTCTCTTACTCCACATTCAAATGTGTGTTATTTAGTCTTGAATCTCTGTCTTAGCTCCCAAAAATAGGTTTGCATTTACTATTTGCTTTGACAGAGTTCTTTCCTTAGTTGATGGAAAATGTAAATGGTTAATAAAGCTGAGTGTAGATTTGCCTTATATGTGAACGGTGCTTTGAGTATGTAACTCAAGCCAAAGGTCTACATGTGCTTAGCATGCTCTTCAGGTGATTGATTGATTGATTGATAGATTTAAAAGTCAAAAGGCCAAATAATATAACTTTGCTTCTTCTCAATAAACTCTGTGTAAGATGAGCAAGGCAATATCAAGTCGGAGTTGAAAGAGACAACTATACAGTAATGTACTTTACTTAAATATAACTGGAGAGTTATAACCACTGGTAATGTCACATACAGAGGGAGCATCAAATGATTGTTAATTAGAGATTATAAAAGTGTTTGTATTAATTCTGAATTGTTGAGCTGGCTAATGGCTAAACAAAAAAAAAACATCACACCTGTAATAAGACTATTTGTGTAATTTTCTGTTGGAATTAGTTTTGAAAATGCGAATTTTTAGCGTCTTTTATAGTTGAATATTTTTTATATATATCCATATCCATTGGCCTGTATTTGTGGGAGGGGCTTAAGTTAACTTACTCCCCTATATAAACTACACCTCTTACCTGACTCCTTACCGATCAAGGTCAGCATCTGAATGCCCCTCCCACCCACTCCTCATACTTACACAATCTATATCACATTTCTTATTTTAATTCTTACTCCTTGGTGGGCCCTCTTTATTTACAGGCCTACCGTATCGTCGGTATCGGCACACCACAACCGACTTGCTCTTTTATAATATTCCAGTTCCTACTGGAACCTCACTCCTTATACTATTACTTAGCACCTTACACAAATATATATATATATCCATATCCATTGTATATCACAATGTGAATCATATTTAGGATACCATAAATTGCAACAAATAATGTATTTACATCCACATATTTATATAATGAATGAGTGTATGCGTATACTACATTAAGTAGTCCTAATGGCTAGTAATGGTTACTTGGTAATATGTGCATTTGTTCTGGTTCCCTTTTGAGCTTCCGAGGTCACATTTTATAATGGAGAAATTCTGGCGGCAGACTTGGTAGGCCATGAAGTAGCAAATTGCTTGTTACTAACATGAAAAAATGTCGTGCAAATGTGAAGTGTTGCTGTTGGTGGTCAAATGTTTCATTTTTGTCACACTGCTTACCTTTCTTAGGATGAAATTTTTTTTAATTGAAGTTCCTGGTAATATTTAGAGGAGTCACATTAGCAGATACAAGAAATATACAGCTTGTTGTTTCAACATTTTTACTCCCAATGCTGCTTGTTTTCTTTCAGTATTCCACCTCTGTTGACCCACTGTCCAAAGAGCAGAGGACAAGCAAGAAGACATATATGGAAAGATCTGTGTACTTTGTCAAAGTGGACTGTCTGAAAGAAGATTTAGGGTTTTGCAGTGTTAGGGGTTTTGTTACCAAGTTCTAGAGGAGACGTTTACTGGAACTGCAACACAGTGCTCTGCAGATTCTACCAAGCCACTGCACATGTTTGTGTCTAAAATGCTTGTGTCTTATTTTTATTACGAGGACATGACTTGCTAAACAAAATAATGCCTACATATTTTAAAAGGTGCAAATGTGGATAATGTATCACACAATATGATCAATATATCAGCATGTTGGGTATATCTGCAAAATAGTCATTTCGGACTCTCATGGAAGAAGCTATTTCTTTGGGGAAGTCACAAATGGAATTCTGACCCATGGAATTGTCAAAAAACAGTTTTCTTATTGACACCTGGAAGTGGTAGCATCAGTCCTGATGTTGGATTAAATAATTGATCATTGTATGTTGTTGCGTTTACCTGCCTTTAATCAGTAAAACAGATGTAAACTATTTAACAGGAGTCTGCTCTCTCCCTGCTTTGTATTCAGAAGAATGGATCTAACTGTGCTGTTCTCTGCTGTCACACTGATAGTCATCGAATAGAACCAACACAAATATAATTTTATACATACATATATGCACATAGGCAGACATACACACACATATGCCTAACAAAGGACACGCTAATAATGCATTTTGTCTGGTCTCAGAAATTCCATTTTGACTTGTTTAAATTGGTCCGAATGGCCATGAATACATAGTGGTTACTGCCAACAAGATCACTCTCCCAGTAAAACTTTGGCCCTACTTCATACTGCAGAACATTTCAAAAAGACAAAGATTGACACTTTATTTTTAGGGGTGTGAGTTTGGTGTGTGGCCACGGCCTGGGCTGCTTAGATATATTTTAGGTGACTTACTAATAACAAATAGGAAACTAAAATATCACTTAGAACAAGAAAAAAAAAATATCTTATCTACACAGCCTTATTTCTAAACACATGTATTGTAGTTTAAAGACACTTTACTGCGAGCTCTATTATACACTCAGACAGGGGCGGACTGAGAACCCTCAGGGCCCTCGGGCAAAATAAATCAAGGGCCCCCTTACAGGCCCCACCCATACTCTGCAGCAAGCGCCACCCTTGTCCCGCCTCCATGCACCGCCTCCAGCCACACCCTACACAATCTTTAGACACAAGGAACAAAAGGGCAATAAGCCCTTCGAGGCCCCAGTAGAGACTACAATTGAGGGCTAATGGGCCATGGAGGGGGGTCTTTCTAGCGGAGGCTATCTCAGTGTCCTTTAGAGAGTGTGTTAGAAAGAATCCCCTCCAAGCCCCATTAGAGACTACAATGGAGTCTAAAAGGCTTGGAAGGGGGTCTTTCTAACAGAGGCCATCTCAGCGTCCATTAGATATCCCCTGCTGGAAACAGTCGCCTCCAGGCCCCAGTAGAAACTACAATTGAGGGCTAATGGGCCATGGAGGGGATTTCTAGCAGAGGCTAGAGTCTAATGGGGCCTGGAGGGTGGTCTCTCCAGCTCTCTTCCTATTCACAATATAGCAACACAACATAGCTCGCTGATACCTAAGCCAAGTTGGCTCCTCTTACCTTAATTACTGTTGCTGGCTGGCAGTCTGTGGGCTTGCTGGCTGCGGCTGGCAGGCTGTGGGCTTGCTGGCTACTGCCGGCAGGCTGTGGGCTTGCTGACTGCTGGCAGGCTGGCAGGCTGTGGCTTGCTGGCTGTAAGCCTGTGGCTTGCTGGCTGTAAGCCTGTGGCTTGCTGTAGGCCTGTGGGCTGGCTACTGGCCTGTGGGCTGGCTAACTGGCTGGCTACTGGCCAGCCTGTGGGCTGGCTAACTGGCTGGCTACTGGCCAGCCTGTGGGTTGGCTGGCTGGCTGGCTGGCTACTGGGGCACTTGTAGATTATTTAAAGAAATAATCCATGCACAATAACCACTACTGCTCCAGAGTAAGTAGTCAAACCGTTTAAGAACAGTTTGACAACTTACCTGGGGTCTGCTGGGATATGAGGCTGTAGTAGGGAATAGGAGCAGTGGTGCAATGTGTGTGAAAGGTTCAGTGTGTGTGTGGGGGTGTAGTGTGTGAATGTGTAGGGTGTGTGGGCAGTGTATGTGTGTGGCAATGTTAGTATGGGGGGCTGTGTATGGGGGTCTGTGTGTATATGGGTGGGCAGTGTATGTGTGTGTGTGAGGCAATGTGTGTAAATGTGTATGGTGTGTATGGGGGCAGTGTGTGAATGTGTATGGTGTGTGTGTGGGGGCAGTGTGTTTATGGGGCTAGAGTTCACTCTCACCACTGCGACCACCAGGAATCCATGGGGGTTACAGTGTTGAGAGTGAACTCTAGCCCGTAGCTCCAGGGCTAGAGTTGACTCTCGCAAGAGCAGTAACGTTGCCATGGTAACCGCGGCAACGCTCTGTGCTCGCGCAAGAAGGACCCAGAGGAGCTGCAGGGTGAGCTCCCAGGTCCTCTCTTCCTCCCCTGCCCGCACGGTGCCTGCGGACAGGGGAGGGGGGGCATTCTTCCCTCTCTTTCTCCCCCCTCCCCCAACTCTCTATTCCCCCTCTTTCTCCCCGTGTCTCATTCTTCCCTCTCTGTCTCTTTCTCCCCCTCCCCATCTCTCTATTCCCCCTCTTTCTCCCCGTGTCTCATTCTTCCCTCTCTGTCTCCCCCCTCCCCATCTCTCTATTCCCCCGTGTCTCATTCTTCCCTCTCTGTCTCTTTCTCCCCCTCCCCATCTCTCTATTCCCCCTCTTTCCCCCTGTGTCTCATTCTTCCCTCTCTGTCTCTGTCTCCCCCTGTGTCTCTTTCTCCCCATCTCTTTATTGCCCCCCCTCCCCATCTCTGTTCCCCCCCTCTTTCTCCCCCCTCCCCATCTCTCTGTTCCCTCTTTCTCCCTCTGCCCATCTCTCCCCTCTCTCTCCATCTCTGTTCCCCTCTTTTCTCCCCTACTCCATCTCTGTTCTCTTTCTCCCTCTCTCCCTATCTCTCCCCTCTCTCTTATCTCTCTCTGTTCTCTTTCTCCCTCCCCCATCTCTCTCCCTCTCCATCTCTGTTCCCCTCTTTTCTCCTCCCCATCTTCCCTCTCCATCTCTGTTCTCTCTTTCTCCCTCCCATCTCTCCATCTCTGTTCTCCCTCCCCCCATCTCTCCCCTCTCCATCTCTCTGTTCACAATTTCTTTTCTCCCCCATTCTCCCTCTTTCTCCCTCTCTATCTTCCCCATCTTTCTCCCCACTTCTCCCTCCCTATCTCCTCTATCTTTCTCTACTCTCTCTCCCCTCCCCATCTCTTACCTCTGGCTGTGCCAGCGCATGCTGGCTGCCGAATGCTCGCCGGCGGCATTCCTCTCACTAACACAGAAGAAGAAGAGGGAGGAGGAGCATGTGTCTATCATGCTCCTTTGCGGTTCCCACATCCTGTGCTGGGAATTGTGGGAACCGCAGGGAGCATGATAGACACATGCTCCTCCTCCTCCTTCTTCAGCGTTAGTGAGCGGAATGCCGCCGGACCGGCGAGGCTGCTACCCGGTCCGGCGGCTGCAGCATCAAACGGCCGCCCCCCCCTCACAGTGTGCCACTGGACCGGCCACCCGGTGGCACCTGCAGTCCCCAAATGCCGCCCCCAATCCAGCCCTGCCGCCGGGCCCCCTGAAGGCAGCCCTGGCGGCGGGCCCCCCTCCCGGCCGGGCCCTCGGACCGTGTCTGAAGTGCCCGACCAGTCAGTCCGCCCCTGCACTCAGACACGCCAACAATATAGAGCTCCTAGAAAAGAGGGACATCATATTAGAAAAGAGGAATTTAGGCCCAAAATAGTGACTATCCCTCCTAAATAGGTACACTTGGGAGGTATGCTACTTATTCCTATCTATAGCTAAAAACAAAAAAAAAACTAAGAGAAATAGAGGGACAGAAAACTATTAATTTAAAAACAGAACCTTCAAAGTGACAGGGTAGCTTTAAAAACACCTTACAATCATAGTTTAATATTTATTTACTTCAGAAAGATCAATGATAACATACACCATACTCTCCAGTTAAGTGCTTTTATTGACGTAACCTACCTGTGTTTTTTTTTTTATAAATTTGGAGTTTTCAGCCACTTCCATCATGGTAATCCCTAGTATGGGCTAAGTTTGTCAGAGAAAAGCAATAAGATGGATATTCTTGAGATAAATATATGAAGGACAGGTCTGTTCCACTTACACAGTAATTTATGTGAAGTCTGCTCAGTGAATATTGCCTTGGAATGTTTCCCAGATATGGTTAACTTGAGAGAAACTTTTTCGCAGTTCAGGTTTGATTACCTCAGGTAATTAGAGACAATTGAGACTCTTAGTACAGCTTGAGAACATTTAAATATGGTTTTTGAAACGTGTTTTTTATGTTCTCCCAAATTCGAGTTATCCTAAAAATCCATAGTTTTAAATGGGATAAAACTGGGTTCTTAATGAATTACCTCATCCCTGTTTTACAGTTCCCCCATGATGGTCAGTATTCTACAACTCCGCAAGCCGCTGCTCTACACTATGCCCATTCCTACATTTGGTCATTTCCTCCCAATCTGTGTTCTCACGCCTTTCCAATGTTCACTCTAAGTGCAGCTCTCCTCAACTCATTGTTTAATACATCCCCACTTCCCAAATTCAATCAGTTTCCTTTGTCCCTTCATGCATATGATGTTTTCATACTTTGTGTGTGTATTCTCTCTTTCCCACACATCTTTTTACGTGCTTTCCTGGATAGACAGACAAAATATGGCAAGGTCTTTTTGAGATTTCAGTATTTACATTATTTCATGATTTTAGTAGATTTTAGTGTTTACATTATTTGGTTATTGTATCTAATGGATTATTGATGTGGTCTTACTGGTGATTTTATTCCTTTGCCTTTAGCTTTTCTCTTTCTGTAGCTCTTTGTGTCACACAACCCCCATTCCCAGCTTTGCATGCGTACATAACTTCTCCTACTCAACGTATTGGCTATTTCAACACCTTTGTGATAGATGATGTACCAGGAATATCCAATTATAATTGAATTTGCCTCACCCCTTTTACAACCTTCCTGTTCACTGTACATATATCAGGGTTCTGATGAATCCTCAACCTTCTAATCCATAGCTTAGTCATAGGGTCAGTTTATGGCTTTTACATTGTCTTTCTCTGTATCATGCTAAAACACAAATAAAGTTCATTGTGATTTAAATTTTTTAATTGGGGATGTCTGTGAAAAATGCTTGATGTTCTTAATACAGACATTTGGCAGCCCTAAGCACAACACAAATGTCCCAAATTAGGAGGGACAGTCCCTATTTTGGGTTCCAAATCACTTTTTTTCTGTCCTAATATCCCTCTTTTCTAACAGCTCCATATTGCTGGTGTGTCTGAGTGTATAACAGAGCTCCACAGCAATGATACTCACAGTAATGTCTTTAAACTACAATAATTGTGTACATAAGATACAGTGTTCTTGTTCAAAAATACATTTGAGAAATCTATAAAAGGAGTGTCTTTAGGCGCTTCTCATGAACTCAATGTTAAAAATAATTGTTTGGGGGGCGTGGCTAACCACGGAGCAAGATGGCAGCATGAAAACTTGCTCCGGCAACAGGGCACCCAATCCAGCGTAATCCAACCGCCTAAAGCTGCATCCAACAACATAGACCAGCAATGTCCCACCACAAAAGTAAAAGGAGCTCGGTAAAACCGGACAAGCTTAATTTTTTTAGCCAGAAACAAACTCCTGCGGCCCTGGCTACGCAGGCCTCAAAAGCAGCCGAGGATCCTGAATCGGACGACGGCATGCATGATACCGACTCGGAGGCAAAAGCTGACACAACACAGATTACTAAAGCCGACCTCACAGCAGCTCTGGAGGTCTTATCTGCTAAACTAATCACCACATGGCAACATACAGCGGACTCCTTACGGAAGGACATCCAGGAGCTGGGGAAAAGGATGACGCACATGGAGGATAAGTGCGATGAATTCGCCACAGCGCACAACGATCTGGCCACGAACGTAGAGCGCATAGCAGCAAAAATCACCATTATGGAAGAAAAAATGGCGGACATGGAGGACCGGTCCCGCCGGAATAATTTACGCTTGCGGGGAGTCCCTGAGGATGTCACTAACGACGACCTGCCAGCTTATGTCAGGAACCTCCTGCACGCCCATGCACCGGAGATACCTACAGATATGCTGCTGGTAGATCGGGCTCACCGCATTCCGAAACCCCGTCATCTCCCACAAACAGTACCGCGGGACATACTATTGCGGGCGCACTATTTCCACATAAAGGAACATATCCTCCGGAGCAGCAGGCTGAGAGCTAAGCCGCCGGCCGACTACCCAACGGTCAAAATCTATGCGGATCTGTCAGCCGCAACACTACGAAAAAGAAAAGACTTCCTCCAAGTTACCAGCACGTTGAGGTCCCACGGCATAAGGTATAGGTGGGGATTCCCCACAAAGTTGATCGTTACGCAAAATGGAGACACGGTAGTGATAAATTCCCCTGACGACGGCCTGAAGAAACTCCAGGCCTGGAACCTGCCGGTGGAGCCGCCTATCCTGCAAACAAGAAAGGCGGGCACCCTCAAACCGGACTGGGAAAAAGCCCACGGGAAACACTGAAACCAGACGGTATCTGGTACGCAGGCGAAAGCCCCTTCGGATATACACTGCCCATATAATGTCCTGGATACGCACCTGAAGTGCCTCCTTTCAACATGGCGACCCTGGAATGCACAACAAAGCTGGACAAGAACTGGTAACTGAGGACCCCGATGGATAAGTGACTCTGGATCGGGGCCCCCCGCTGACCCTGTGACGAAGCGTACGCAGAGCAGTGGATTCCCGCGGGGGTCCCCGGTCTGGACTAATACCCTGAGGTGATGGGCCTTCCTCCCCCCTCTACCCCCCATCTCGCCTCCACTCCCCCCCCGGGTCCGGGTGAGCAACGACCGGGGCAGCCTCCAACTCAGGTGAGGCCAGATGGTTTACCCGGGAGATGGGAGGCATGACACCACAACCAGATGGACCATGAGACTTTGGAGATGCTGAGACAAGCTGCAGAACTACAGCGTTATACGCTCCTACCAACAGGTCTAATGGGACAATGGGACACTGGGGCCCGGGTGGGGGATGGGGAGATTCCGGGGAAGTTTTCTTGGCCGTTGGGGTGGGGGGGGCGGGAGACAGGCCGGGAGGCGGGACGGTTAGCAGGGTAAAAAAGTTACCGCAGGTTATGTTTTTACTTAGAATGCATGAGCTATAGTTGACTGTTAACATACACGTACATAGGGCCCCTTTGAGCCAACGTTAGCGTTCATGACAGGTCTTCAGCACATATAGCCAGACCACCCCAACAGATGGCACGCCAATGTACACTCTAATTCAGACGAGGACGTCTGGCCCCGGCCTTTCTCAACCTGTCACGCCCTTACCGGGATTACATCCAAGGGCCCGGATCGGTCCATAGGCACTGATTGGCCCAACCGCATACTAGAAGCAGCCACAAACACGAACCACAAGGGTGCCCAAATAGCCACGTTAATGGAAAGATCCTTTCTTTCTTACCCCCCAGATGTGGTCTATCCACATAAATTCCTTGAAAGGAATACTCTGTACATAGTTTTTATACCTTCCCCTAGTTCTCCTCCCCTAATCCCACATCCCCAAGGTCGGCCACTACCCACAAATGGAACTAACACATCTCCAAATCCATACCACTACCTAATGGTGTACATTATGCAACGACACGCCAATGCTATCCTAGAACCAACAGGCAACACGGCCACACAACATTCCCATTCCCAATGTGGGGGCAACATCAGACAAGGACAAGCGAGACCTAGACAGCTACACTATATAACCCTCCCATAGTATGAGAATACAAACTATTAATGCACGTGGACTGAACACCCCACACAAAAGGAGACTCTGCATTGAGGACGCGAAGCGTGCTAAAGCAGATATCTTATGTGTCCAAGAAACTCACTTTGTACACAACAGAGTGCCCAGATTTGCAGACAGAGAATACCCCACACAATACCACTCGACATACTCCTCTAAATCGAGGGGTGTCTCCCTCTTCATACACACCTCAATAGCATTCGAACTTCTCCGACTCAAAAAAGACACACAAGGCAGGTATCTTATACTACACGGTAAAATCAACGACACCCTACACACAATAGTGAGACTATACGGACCAAACAGTAATCAAAGAAACTTCCTACAGAAAGTACTAAATAAACTACCTAACACGTACCAATCATCCACAATCATATGCGGAGACTTAAATCACATCATGCAACCCCGATTAGATACTACACTGTCGGAAACAACACCCAGGAGCAAAATACAGGGAAAACAGGCTATAGCACTCACGAAGCTCCTCTCCGAACACGGGCTTTATGATATTTGGAGGACACAGCATCCGAATGAACGGGAATTCACATTTTACTCACCAGTACATAAAACATACACAAGAATTGACTTTATTCTAATTTCGGGCGACATGTTACCAATGGCAACGCATAGTGAGATAGGGAACATAATCTGGTCAGACCACGCACCAGTACAACTTACCCTGAGGGACAAATTTCAGACCAGAGGGGCGACACTCTGGCGCCTAAACGACACTCTCCTCCATAACCAAGAATTTAAAACCAAACTTAACGAAGAGATACTTTCGTTCTTTACCTTAAACGAAACACCCGAGGTCTCACTAGCCACAACATGGCAAACACATAAAGCAGTCATACGAGGCCTCCTGATTAGCCAGGCATCCCACCTGAACAAGCAAGCAAAGAAAGAGTATATAGACCTCCTGAGGTCACTTAGGGACGAAACATCGGCGCATATTATGCACCCATCCCCCTCCACACAGCAGCGCATAGCCCAGCTTCAAGGGAAACTAAATGACATACACCTGCGCACCACAGCTACCATATCACATAAATTGAAACTCAAAACATACACCCAGGGAAACAAGGCAGGGAAGACACTGGCAGCACTTCTGCGACAGAAACGGCAAAATGCAAAAATCCCATTTCTATTGAACGCTATAGGCAATAAAATGTATAGCCCACATGATATAAACAACGCGTTAGCGGACTACTATGATACACTATATAACCTGAAAAGGGATCAGCAGACACACCAGCCACTCCCAAAGGAGATAGACGCATTTTTAATGGAAGTACAGCTGCCGAAACTATCGGAGGCAGACCAGACTCTATTGGAAGCTCCCGTTACCCAAACTGAAATTGCAAGCATTATTAAAGCCCTCCCAAAGGGGAAGTCACCAGGCCCAGACGGCTTCACGAACTTATACTATAAAATTTTCTCCCACAGTCTCACCCCCAAATTGGAAAAACTGTACAACAATATTCTCACGACAGGCTCTATACCAAGGGAAATGCTGCTAGCCCACATAACCACACTGCCAAAACCAGGGAAGCCTCCAACTAAATGCCAGAACCTGCGTCCTATATCGCTACTAAACACTGATTTAAAAATATTAGCGAAAATTTACGCAAATAGGCTAGGAAACATATTACCATCCCTGATTCGAGATGATCAAGTGGGGTTTGTCCGGGGTAGGCAAGGCTCAGACGGAACCAGGAAACTGATCAACATCCTGCACAAGATCCAGAAAACCGGGACCCCCAGTGTGGCACTGTCACTAGACGCTGAGAAGGCGTTTGACAGGCTGCACTGGGGATACCTGGAGGCTGTGCTAAGGAAACTCGCATTTCCCGAGTGCTTCATCACACTAGTCTCGGCACTATATGACAACCCGACAGCAAAAATAGCCAACGGCGGGTTTACCTCCAAACCCTTCCACATCTCCAATGGGTCCAGACAGGGCTGCCCACTCTCACCCTTACTATATATACTAGCACTAGAACCCCTGGCTCAACACGTTAGGGAGTCACATGAGGTCCATGGAATACAAATAGGGGGAGAAACACACAAAATTACCCTATTTGCTGACGACGTAATGCTCACACTGTCTAAACCTGACATTTCTCTGCCACGGCTTCGAACTATACTAACAAAATTTAGCAACTGCTCATACTACAAGCTCAATGTCACCAAGACACAAGCTATGGGCCTCAATATCCCTAAAGAACAACTTACCCACCTACAAAACACATACACATATGACTGGCGAACTGACCATTTGACCTTCCTAGGTATAGATCTCACACCCAAGACGCAAAAGCTGTATAAAGCGAACTATTTAAAACTCCTTAGCGCAATTAAACAACAATTACATAGCTGGAAAGGGAAATACATCTCATGGCCAGGCAGAATAGCGGCAGTTAAAATGATGGTACTACCACGACTACAGTACTTATTTAGAACACTCCAAATACAGCTACCACGCCAATTCCTTAAAGACGCACAGCACTCCCTAAATCAATTCATATGGGATGGGAAACGACCTCGAACGGCGGCCGACACCATGTATAGGCCATTCAAGGAGGGAGGAATGGGGGCCCCTGAGATCGCAAACTATTACACAGCTGCCATGATGAGCACACTCGTATCCTCCTTCCACTACACAATACCACCAAAGTGGAGTCACATAGAAACCGCAAACACGGGCGGACTCTCGATGTCCACCCTTGCTTGGATACCTAGGCATCTGAGACCAAAATACCCAGACATATGCCCAACCACGAGGGCCACACTCCTCCTATGGGACAAGTACACCAAGAAACACTATCCCACCTCATACATATCCCCAGCACTACAAATTCCAGCATTCCAACTCCTCATTCCGGGATTCGATCATGGCCTATGGTGCAAACACGGAGCCACACGCCTATCGCACTTAATGAGGGACGGTCGCCTAATAGACTTTAGTACTCTATCCAACCAGTACAACCTACCTCCCAAAGCCTATTTCTCATACTTACAATTGCAATCATGGGCGAGGAAGAATATAGGTCTAGAAGCTGCACAAACGCAACCACAGACACTGACAGAGATAGAAAAAGTATGTATGGCCCCAAAACCACCACAGAAAATGCTGTCACTCCTGTATAAACTGACCAAAAAACAAGACCAACCACAGAAATTAAGCTTCATGACGGCATGGGAAAAAGACCTGAATCTGACTATATCCAATGAGGTATGGTCAAAAATACTGTTAGCACACAAAAATCTCACACTAAATGCATCCCATATTGAGACTAGCAGGAAAGTGTTATATCGCTGGTACATGGTACCCACCAGGCTGAGCAAAATGGACCCAAGTAAGTCAGGGACATGCTGGAGATGCTTACAGGAACCGGGGTCAATGCTCCACATATGGTGGACCTGCCCAGGAATTAGGCCCTTTTGGAAAAGCGTCTCGAATATCATAACCAAATCCACTGGCAATACTCTGCCACACTCCCCAGAAACATATTTACTGCTAGCCCTGCCACATAAGCTCTCAAAAGCTGATATGTACCTAACATACCACATTATTATCACAGCACTAATGGCTATAAGCAAGACTTGGTTGAGCACACACCCACCCAGCACTCAACGATGCCTAGATATGATAGACACTACCCAAGGGTATGAGATAGAAGCTAGGCGACTAAGGCCGACAAATAAAGCCTGGCAAACAGCGTGGCAGACATGGACAGCATGGCGACAAAATGCCACACAGGATGGCAGTCATGGCACTAGCTAACTCTTGGAAACAATTCCAGACGTTCCAAACCGACCTTCCCCTCCACCCTTCCTCTTCCCTCCTCTTCCCCCCCCCTACAATAATAGGGTGATACCTAGTCGCAAGACTAGGTTAGTTGTCACATAACACTGGTACAGGTGCAAGCCACAACGTTAAATGCTATGGCACTGAGATGCTGTGACTGGCCTCCCCAACAAGTTGTTGGGGTTCCCAAACACTGGACGAAGTATGAAACACTTCCTAAAGATGTATAAAGCGAAATGTAATTGTTATTCTGCAACTGTACAATTGTGTGCATCTGTTACCACTATTTTAAACTCAATAAAAAATATTACACACAAAAAAATAATTGTTTGAAGTGAGACCCACAGATGGTAATGTAACTGATATAAGGAGTGCTTACCAAAAAACACAAAGTGACAAATATAAATACAATAAGATATCAGTGTACATACAATCACCAGTGATGAAGTGTATGGATTTTAAACACAAATAATACAACCATATCACTAGCAGACACAGGGATATCAAATGATACCTAGAACAAAATATTAAAACAACATAGTGTATACTGTTTAAAAACATAAAACATACAAATGTGATAATAGGACTACCATTTACATGGCCCAGAGCTGTCCCAGGCTCTATATCTCAGCCTCAACGGTGCCAATACTGACTACAGGATCCACTTGATCACAGCAGGATACTCGACATCAGGTGCTTTGTAAAATGAAAACGTTATTCCAGGATACATAAAATAATATAAACGCTGATGGGTACTTTAACTCAGGTGGCTGTGAAACCTACTAGTAAAGTCACACTTACCACCGAAAACAGTAACCCACAAAAATGTAAAGTTCAAAGTTACAAATAGCAGTCACGTTTCGGCTCAAAATGCCTTCTTCCAGTGTGGGCTGGAAAAAGGCATCTGCTATTTGTAACTTTGAACTTTACTTTGAACTTTGCCCAGTCTACTGCTGTGATCAAGTGGATCCTGTAGCCAGTATTGGCACCCTTGAGGCTGAGATATAGAGCCTGGGACGGCTCTGGGCCATGTGAGTGGTAGTCCTATTATTATATTTTTAGTGTTTATGAATGTGTATGTTTCAGTGAAAGTGTGTGTTGGCTAAACAGTGTGTGTGACAATGACTGCATATCTGTAAGTGAGTGTATGTCAGTGCATGCATCAGTGAGGGTGTGTGTCTGTCAGGAAGAGAAATTTGGAGGGGGGGCATGCCTGAGTTTTGTCATGGGCCTAGGGCAGCACAAAACCAGAATACACCACTGACTTTGTGTACACCATGTAGATATTTCTGTTTCTTATGCTATAATTTATTGTCTTACACCAGGGGCTTTTTACTCTCCTTTGTCCAGTACACTTTCACCAATCCTTCCCTGCTGTGATCTTGCGTACATATCCCCACTCACAACCATTACCCTTACATCCCCCTTCCACACACACTCCACACACGTGGCAGTTTGATTATGGAGGGCTCTGGCCTTATTCTGGTGTCCGACCTTTGTGTTGGAGATTTTGGGGCATGCATAACATATGAGGAGGGGTTTTCCTTCTGAAAGCTCTGTTGTATGAATGTGAACACACATCTTGTTTTTAAATATAGCACCAGCTGGAAAGGCCTTGAGAAGAAGCACTGAATGCAGGACTTGTATTATACAGGATGTATTGGGAGGGGTAGGGAGGAAAACACAGGGCAAGCAAGAGTGAAATGGGGAATAGTGAAAAATGCATTTTAACAGAAAAATTAAGAAATGGGGGATGTGTTTGCAGTGAAAATGATAAGTGCATCTTGAGAAAAACAAGGATTTTAAAGAGATGCAGAGGGAATGAAAAAAGTATGCATCTGCAGTGAGAAAAGCTAGAATTTAAGGAAGTGTAAAATATAAAAGATGGGTAATTGATAAATGGTACATACAGAGAGTGAGACACTTTTGTCATTCCACGCAGGACATTTTTTTCTGCAGACATTATCAGAAATTTGGATTTGTATTCTTTAACGTCAGTAGAAAACATTATTAGATTATTCCCAATGCACAGTAGCCTATAATGGGCAGTTTACCCTTTAAATAAGATTATGAATATAATGATGGATAATTACCAGATCCAAAACTTTTGATTGATTAAAGCAACTCTATCACCTTCTGGTTTACATATTTTACAAAGACTTCAGATGGTGACTGCCCTGCTTCAGGTGTGGTGCCCTGGGGGTGCAGTGAAAGGTACTTTTAACTTACCTGAACCTGTCCCATGTGGGCGCTACCATCTTCTTCCGCAAGGTCCGAGTCTCGTATGGTGGTGTCAGTGTTGTACTGTCGTGTGTGCATGAGAGTACAACACTAATGTCAGTGGAGGATCTCACAAGACCATGTGATGCGCAATAGACAGAGCTTTTCCCCCCAAGCCTTTCACAGTGATAGGTGACAGCGAGCTGAACACTACTTGCGCCTGCACTGCGCCTTGTAGATTGCACAGACCAAATGCTCCACGCGGCCGCACAATCCAAAAATAGAACTAGCATATAATAAGTACCATTCAGCTCGGCGAACCACTCCTCCTCCTGGTTTGCACAGGCCGAAATTCACAAAGCCGCTGCTTTCATGCATATTTCCAGACACTGACGGCTTGAATGGCGTGTCTTTGATTAGTTCAAATGTTGTGACATCACGCTCACCCTTAGTCCACGAGGTGGACCAATTTTAACATATGTAAACCTATAAAATGCTAATTTGGGCTCCAATTCAGTGCCCTATCAAGGTTTCTGCCTTGATACACGTTTGGTGCTTTTAGTAAGTCTTCCTTGATAGTCTGATATTGACCTTGGCTTGTATTTGATTTCATGTATTTCTGGTATCCTGACCTGGCTTGTTTCTGACTTTGAGTATTTCTGGAATCCTAACCCAGCTTGTTTCTGACTTTGAGTATTTCTGGAATCCTGACCCAGCTTGTTTCTGACTTTGAGTACTTCTGGAATCCAGACCCGGCTTGTTTCTGACTTTGATTATTTCTGGTATCCTCACCCAGTTTGTTATTTCATTTATCCTTGTTTCTATTATCCTGACCTTGGCTATTACTGACTTTGTCTTTAGCTTTCTTACATTAAGTTTGGAAACTCTAAAGCCAGGTAATACGTCTTTTTAGAACCTCTTTTTATGGGATTCGCCATTTCCTGTAAATTAGGGTATGACCCCGTGACATGTATTATGTGGATTAATTCATTATGCCTTTATAAATTTTTTTATTAATAAGTGAAAAAAATAAACATGTGCTTTTTGACTTGTTTTGTAACTATTTAGAATAAACAAAGTGATCATCTGTCAAACGTTATACCACAGTAGATAATCGATGAGCTCATGCTTTACTATCTGACTTCCTACATCAATAATCTGTTAACCCTGGGTCATACATAATCAGCTATATTTGCAGGGCAGCAAATTACTGTTAGAAACCTATAATCAGGAATTGTAACAGTTCTGCATAATAGACAATATAGGAACGCTCAAGAAAATTTTTCTTTTCGTCTTATCTAAACCTTTATTGACCTAAATCAAGGGCTGTCCACACCACTTATCATCTGGAAGTTTCCCAAGTTATTTATAGAACCAGTGGGCCTTCTATCCACCTTCTTGCCTGCTTAACTTAACTTGACCCCAAGAGCAAAATTTCCCTTATTCAGCTAAAGTTCTAGAACAGAAACGTGTGCATCAATAATTAATGTTTGCATATAAATTGTTCCACTTATATATACTGTGGTCGTACAAAGCGAGTGAGCAATCTGATCTGAAGGTAATAGCTCATTGACCAAGACTAAGGTTGGAGCTTAGTCACGGTAATTAGAACCACAGAGATAACCAACTAATGAATGTAAAAAACAAGTAGATCAAGCCCTTTTCCTTAACTTACCTAGAACATAGGCAACTTCAGTGTGTGTGGCTTTAGTGGTCCCTTAACTGCATACCTACTGTATATGAAATGTGACTGTGTCATGATTTTGTTTTTGAGGCCACTTGTATTTTGCAGTCACGTAAGGAGATATAGCGTAAGATATTAAATTATGCACGTACACAATTTGTAAAGTGTTTATTTCCTCTCTGTTATTACTTTTCCCAGTTGCTAAAGCAGTTGAAGATGAATAGCCATCCAGATGAGGTGGTCCAAAGTTAATGCAGTGGAAAAATACAAAAATAAGTGGCTACAGCTGTACTATTCTGCTTTAAGCTGCAGATCATTCAAGCCAACATAATGGGGCAGCCAAGTATTGACACTTACTCTAACTGCAATTTGCAGTTTGTTAAACTTAAATGTACATTTTTGTAACGGCAAGGGGTTAAACCGCCGTTTAGTAGATCTTCCCTTCCAGAGACACAGGCACAGCTACTGCAGAACACCAATCCGCCGAACCGGAGAATCATATGAATGCTGTAAACAGCTGAACCGGAACCATATGAATGCTGTAAACAGCCGAATAGGAAAAACCATACGAAAGGTTTACACTCCTAGCAGTCGAACTGGAACAGCATACAATAAATCCCCCCCAAGAACGAGACAAAGCTCCGTGTTGAGGGTCAAGCAGTGAACAGACAGAGCTGTGGGTTTATTGTTCTTATATACACAGTAGTACAGCCCACAGGGTTTTGGAACACAACCAATAAACACATACAATACACTCAGACACTCCCACACAAAATCCTCCCCTCTGCCTGTGATTCAATTACCTTACACAATGGGTAATGTAATTATAACAAGCAGAGAAATACAATTTTTACACATTATTCATAACTTGAAAAGTATGCATCACATTCACATATAACTTACATTTTCAGAATCAGCATACTCCAAATACAAACATACATCAAAATCATACAAATTGGTCCAGTGGTTCAAAAGATAGATCGTAGTCCTTTGTGACCAAAGGAAGCATGGCTTTTCTGCCCAAAACCAGTTCCACAGAGTCTTCTATCCTGGAGATAATTGGGAAGTAATCCAATTATCTCCAAAGACAGAGGCAAAACTCCATTGAACACATGGCAGCAAAAGACAATAAAACACATAAAAACATAACTTTGCAGCCATTGCACAAAACAGGTACATTCAACATATCCCCAGATAGCTCAGATCTGAGCGCACATTATTACTGAATGGCGCTCAGAGCACACACATACAGTTCAATTGCCATGGAGCCAAAGTCTTTCCCATAGTCTTTCATTATACGAATGGGCTCCATGGCATAGCTATCTGGGGTATCACCGCTCAAACAGGGCAAGCACCAAATGACCCGGCTTTCATGTCTTTGCAGGGGAAAATCAAGCCTTTTAACATGGGGCCATAATCCAAAGGCAACAGGCGAGCAACCAGGCTTCTCCAATGCAATGTGGCGAGATTGGTCTCGTCACAATTTTTATTCACCCTTTTTTCCCTCAAGTCACCCTTTATTTAATAGAAAACAATTTCAAAAATAATTTTAAAAAAAGCATTTGTGTCTTAATGTGACTTACCGTAAACCAATGGCAAATACACAGGGAAGACAGGGAAGGCTTTGCCTCTTAGGTGGACTGGACATGCACAAATTTGTTTATTTTAAATTCTGTTTGATGTAGACATAAAAGGGTTACTCAAACCAAAAACAGTATTTTCATAAAACACTGTTTTTGGCTAGGGTAACCCTCACTTTCTTGGTCCGCTGCACCCCTCCCCCGTATTTTTTTTTTTTAAAGCTGAAACTTACATGTGTATGAGCGCTGAGATAATGTACTCCCTGCAGCGCAAGCCTCCTATTTTTCCCCTGTGTCAGGGCAGGCGGTCTAAGTGGAAGACATGGGTGGCATGGAGGGGGGAAGGTGTGCCACCATTGGATGTCCAATATGCACAGAATTAACATTAGCCTCCCAGAACTCTTGTTCTGGGATGACTAATGACTCCCTAATACCGCTGCTGGAGATGGAATTACACATCCGGCAGCTGAAGTGATACTCTGTACATGCAGATGTGGTAGACGAGGAAGGAAGACTGCAGTAGTGGTGAATGTGCCAATACTCAGTGACGATAACATCAAGAAGAAGCAACATGAGAACGTGAACTAATATCAAGGACTAAAAGAGGAGATAAAAAAATATGTGGAAAGGGAAGACAGTAGTACCCTCAGACGTGACAGGAGCACTAGGGGTGTAACCTACACGTTGAGTGAGTAGCTTCAACAGATTCTAGGTGGGACATCTGTGATCTTTGTCCAGAAGAGTGAAATTCTTGGAACAGGTAAGGTAGTATGCAGAACCTTCAGATTCCCAGGCCTCTGGTAGAAGAACCGAGAATTAGGAATTTATTTTTGGTAATAAAGTGCAATGGAAGCAAGACCACAATACAGTGCAAATAATGAAATTTATTAGGACACTGTAGACACCCTGACTTAATCTCAATTAAATAGTCTATGTGCAGCACCCCTGATGTTTTGCTCCCACAATGTTATACATTGCTATTTTAGAGCTATGGCAATGTTTACATTGCCGGGCTAAACACACCTCTCGTGGTTGTTACACTAATAGCCACTAGATGGTGCTTCCGCAAAGACAACTGAGTCCAATATGGTTCTTAAAGTTCGACGTCCTCACGTATTGAATGTGTGGACATTGAACATTCAATCAATGCTACTCTATAAAAATAATTTGATTCGATGAGAAGTCAAAAAGGTGTCAGCAGGCATGAAGACAAAACAAGAGGCGGAGAGCTTGGCTGCAAGGGCTGGATCTCGGTGCTAAATAGAAGGAGAGAAAATGGTTATTTACTGTACATTTTTCAACATTAAATGGGGGCAGGAGTTACAAAAGCTCCAATAAGAGAACTCTCTCCTTTGCCAACCCATGTGCTCTGTACCGGCTAATTGGTGCAATCACAGGTCCATCCACAGGCTTCTTATATTATATTGGAAAGGTGCCCCCTCTCAAAAGGGTTATAGTAACCCTTTAAAGTACCTACTATATGAGCTCTCAATGCAGAGGCATTCGGGCATGCTGTACCAGTATCCTTGAAGTTCCCATGGAACACTGATCCAATGTGTTCAGCCATTTCTCTGTTATTCTATTTATGTTGCATGTCGCGAACAACAGACAGTACCTCATACCCTCTAACTGACATTTAGTTCCTTCTTACCAGACTCCCGAATTTTAAACATTCCCGATTGAAACACAGGCCCCCTAATGACATTTAAACTCTTCTTTTAAAAGAAAAAGACCATCCCCTTCAAGATATCTAACCCCTTCCATAGCAGAGAGGCCTGCTCCTAGATCATATTTAGACATGACTTCTCTTGCAGGCATTTAAAAGTTTTTTTCTGCCATACAAACTGGAGACTTAATTGACCTTTATCTCATTCTTGAATAACCTTTAACTCCTTTTTCTACCCTATATGGGGTGGTTGCAAACTCCTAAATGTTGCAAAGTTTATTGGAGAACAGATCTTTATCATTGCTCTTTGTTGACAGACACAAGCTTGTGTTACAAATTGTACAGGTTTGTTTATTTAATTGGGCACCAGCAATTCTGCCTTGTCTAAACTGGATTATGATGTCATTAACTAAATGTTTAATATACATTTTTTAAAGAAAAGTGTACATCTCATGAAAAAAATGTTAAAACAAACTAGAGGGGATTTTTCTTTATTTAATTATGTAAAAGCCAGAGAAGTAACATTTCCCCTTTAAATCCAACACTCGTAAACCTTTTGATTATTATTATTTTTCACCCATTTTTCTTATTACTTGAGATCTGGTTTGTAAGTTTGTATTTTTCATTCTTAAAGGGACAGTTTAGGCAAGATAAAAACTTCATGTAAATGAAGTTGTTATGATGCCAGGAGGCTCTAGGGCACACTATTACCTTGAGGGTTTAACCCCTTAAGGACACATGACATGTGTGACATGTCATGATTCCCTTTTATTCCAGAAGTTTGGTCCTTAAGGGGTTAAACTGTTCTCAAACGGGTTAACGCCAAATTGAGTTTCCGGCGCAGCATCTGGCTTCTGAAATTTCAGTTTTGGGAATTATGTAGGAAAATAAAGTTTCTTTCAAACCAGTTTTATGAATGGGGGGTCACTGATTGGCTGAGATTGTCAGCTGACTGCTCTCAGCTTATCAGTGGCACTTCATGCTTCCTAAAACTGAGATTTCAGAAGCCGGATGCCGCCTGTGTGACCTGAGATATGATGCTGGAGGCTCACTTTGGGGTAAAACCATTCAAGATTAGAGATTAGAGTGCATATGGGGGCCTCCTGGCACCATAACAACTTAATCTAGATGAAGTTGTTATGGTGCCCATAGTGCCCCTTTAATCATACAGAAGTAAATACTGTTGTTTTGTGACATTTCCAGTGTTTCTTTTTCAGGAGCATGGGGTCAGAAAGATGCAAATATGAATGTGGTAGAAGCTGAAGAGGGGGATGTCGCCAGCATTCCCTGCACAGCTTACAGAGCTGAGCAATCCAGTAACATCTCTGTTCAATGGCTATATGTAAGTATGAGTTCCATTCATTATACCAATATCAGATATCCACTTTATTTTTTACATTTTATATAATATTGTTATGCAGCATTGTCTTATAAGTATTGGGTTGGCTCACCACTTTGGTAAATAAAACACTTTGTGCATGTATGGTGAATGCACCTTTTAGAGTGGCCTTTTATTGTGGCCAGCCTAAGGCACACCTTTGCAATAATCATGCTGTCTAATCAACATCTTGATATGCCACAACTGTGAGGTGGATGGATTGTCTTGGCAAAGGAGAAGTGCTCACTAGCACAGATGTAGACAGATTTGTGAACAATATTTGAGAGAAATAGACCTTTTGTGTACATGGAAAAAGTCTTAGATCTTTGAGTTCAGCTGATGAAAAATGGGGGCAAAAACAAAAGTGTTGCATTTATAATTTTGTTCAGTGTATGATTTTGCTATAATACTATCATTATGTGGCTTATTTAGCGCGCAATACTACTGATACATTCACTAAATTAATAGGGTTTCATGAATTTCATGTTTAGAAACTCTGTCCTATCAGTGTTTTTCTCTACATACAAACTGTACATGCTTATTCTACATTATTTACATAGGTATCCTTATTTATCCCTATAGATGTAAACTATGCATTGCGTAAAATTTCCTTGATATTTATTTCAATCAGTTTCTGATACATACACTGTTGCTTTGATTACAATTTTATGAATAGCATGATTTGGAATACTCTGAAATTCTATTATCACCTATATTTATGTGAGTTAGCAGGAAAATATAGCGGGGAAAAATGTTTTTTTTTTGGAAAAAACATGAATTATGAACATGTTATTTGGTTAGATAATGGCAGCCATTCAACTTCCTGGAATGTGTAGTAGCTCTCTCATAGAATGCTATATGAGATCTCTTATTAGCTGCTTGGCGATACTGAAGCAATAACAAATAAGTAATCACCCACTTTAACAGTGAGACAGCATATGCAAAACTGTTATACGTTTGAGTCAACTCCACTTACATTTAAAATACATCTTCAACACAAGGTAGCCGAAAAATACTGCCTTCAACCTCAATGTGTAAGTAATCAAATGGGTTGAATCCTCAAATGCTCAGGAATGTGGGTTGAATTAGGCCAAACACCTCATACAGGTAGTAATACCTCAATTTTTTGTTTCTCCATCTTAAAATACATATAAATGATCCAAAGTAAGTATTACACTATAAAAAAAAATATATTGCCACCTCATAGCAAAAAACACTAACCAATGTCAGTGTGCCATCACCGTTGTAGAAAAGTGTAGAAAAGAGAACAAGAAGTGTAGCCCTCTTAAATACATAAAAAGGTTAAAAAAAATACATTTTTTATTTAATCATCTCGGAGTTCAATGCCAGCAGTTTCCCTTATATATAAACATCATATACCACATACAACAGGACCATACGTCTATAAAGATAATCTATCTGCAGTGGAAATATTTACATATATACAACAGCCAAGCCATGAGCTAAGCTCTGCATTGCAAGGCCTTTCTGAGGAGAGATGTACAGATGTTCCTGCTTAGGAACACTAACTGTACAGCGTTAGTGGAGTAGATGCGTAATTCATCACTCCAGTTAAATGGTTTCCATTTCTCCAAAGTCTAGTGGTGGCATGCTTTACACCACTGCAGATGACACTTGGCATTATGCATGTTTATGAGAGTGTTGTGTACAGCTTCTCGGCCATGAAAACCCATTTCCGAATCTCCCGACTCACAATTCTTATGCTGAAGTTTCTTCCAGAGACATTTTGGAACTCTGTTGCGAGTGAGCAAACAGAGGATAGGAGATGTTTACACCATTTTGTGAGTATGTATGTTTTACCACTTTGTGGCTGGGTTGTTGTTGCTCCTAGACAATTCCACTTCAGAATAATAGCACATGCCACGGAAGATGTAGTAGGACAGGAATTTGACAAACTGATGTGTGGCAAGAGGTGGCATTCTATGACCGTTTAATGTCACTGAGCTCTTCGATGTGACCCATTGTACTGCCAGTGTTTGTCTATGCTGGATTGTATGCATCTGTTAGCAATAGGTGAGGCTGAAACACCTCAACTCAATAAAGTGTAGGGGTGCCCAAAAACATTTGCCCATATAGTGTATTTATAGTATAAATAATAATTACAATACTCCTGCACTTTAACTAAGCAGCCATAACAAATTAGGAATCTGTGGTTGAGAGCTGACTGTGCCATTTTCTTAGCAATGAGTATACAGTAAGTGATTTTGGTATTTGAACCATCCATTAAGTACATTGTTGTTCTTAATGGTCCCGATATTTGATGCTTGGTGCTTTTTACCGAATGGACCTGGCTTTATCTCTATGTACACTGTCTTTATATACAACGTGCTCTTTGTTTAATTTAGATTTTAACTTAAATCAGATTAAACAAACCTTTGCATTTGTACCAAAATGCAAGTACATGATTTAGCCAGCAGATTAGGAATATGTTGTATATTATTCAGAAACAGAGCAGGATTAAGCGTAAGACCCTAGGCAAACACCTATGGCCCAGTGGTTAGACGGCAGCCTCAGAACAATGAATTTAAATTGGCCCCATTGACCACCTCTATGTGAAGAATGATGAAGGGGGCAATCTGATAACCTGCCTGAGGCCCGTACAATCTGTATCCTTCTCTCTTCAGAATCTTTATGCCCCTAAGACCCCAGGAGGACAAAACCATTTGTAGCTCAGAATGTAATTTTTCAGCCACAACATCACCCCCTCTCTCCCTTCCCCATTCAGTATATCACCATATACTGTAGTTCCTCACCATTCTTGATATATGCATAAAGTATTTCCATGTCATTTTTGATATAGGAAAGATCAGCATGTTTTATTCTGCATGTGATTGTCTTACAAGTGTTTTTCCATTTTCATGTTTCAAATCCTACGCAGTAGATTGTGTCTAGATTTGTTGTGGTCGACAGCAGTATAATATCGCACAATTAACTGCTATAAAGTAACATCAAAAGAGTTGCAGCATTAAAAAATAACACTATTGAAATGTGGCAGACCATTTGAGCTCTTAAAACACATTTTGTGGAAAAATTTAATTTGATGGCCGAGTAAAGCCACTTGATGGAGCTTACCTGTCTGTAATTAAAAAATGGAGAGCCTCACGTGGTCTTTGTCCTTCCTTTTATGCCAAGGCTGGCTCATTGTGTATTTAAATCCATTAATTATTGTTACTACACTAAGCACTACCACTGCTGCAAGAAGATCATTTTATCCACCTACAAAACCTTTTAGATCGTGAGTGCCCAAAAGGTAGATCCCCAGATGTTTTAAAACGACAGCTTCCACAATGCTTTGTCATTCTAAAGGCATGCAAAGGATCATGGGAGTTGTAGCTCTACAACAGTAATTATTATTATTGTATTATTTATATAGCGCCATCAGATTCTGTAGCGCTGTACAATGGATGGACTAACAGACATGTAATTGTGACCAGACAACTGGACGTACAAGAACATAGAGGTGGAGGGCCCTGCTCAATGAGCTTACATTCTAGAGTTCTGGAGATCTACCTATTGGGCAAGCCTGCTTTAGATCACGGGTGTCAAACTGTGTCTACCTACTCTCCATCGGCAGGAAGTTACTGGAATGTATTGGTACAATTCTAATCATCACTAGGGTGCTTATCGCCTCTTTACTGCTGATCTAAATGATACAGAATCTTACAGCACAGTTCACTTAAGTGTTTTGCGTTGTAGCAGTCTCTGCAGTGTTACCAGCACTGCTTACACATGGTTTCCTTGTGGTGCTGTCCATAGGGAATACAAATGCACTGAGTGCTCCAGCTAGCTATGATGCAGGAAGTAACAGCACAAAATACGATTTTCATCTGTTATAGTATAGCGCCAAGTACTATCAGAAAATGTCCTTAAATTAACAAAATGTTTAAGAAGGGGAAAAAAAATGACATTACTCCATTTGGAGTGACTAAAGTGCACAGCATTAATATTGTTAAATAACACTGAAAATCAATTAGAACAATGATAAGAGGCTTTACCATTGACAATTGACTGTCTGTTTAAACAGAAATGTAGTTTTTTACTATTCTACTGTGATGGGAGGACTTATGCATAAACTGATCTCACAAAAAGGGGTTATTTCTGGTATTTGTGGTTATTTACACTATGCTATGTATGCATGAAATTAGCTTAAACATATAGTTTTATAGTATATAGATTGTATTAACTCTTTTTATTTATTTTGTTAAAATACATTCAGTATAATATTTACCGGTATTTGAAAGATAGGTGGACCTGCCCTTCAGTGCGACCTTATTAGGATGTAGTGGTCCAATTTCCATACTCAGCAACAGGCCTAAAATTAGAGCCCACCATAGAAGGTTTTATTTTGTTTATTCTGCCAGATAGTTTACCAAAGCCAGTGTCAAAACTAGTATTCCAAAATTTGGCAGCGTGATTGGTGATTCCATCATTGCAAGACTTCGTTACTTAAAAAGATGGCATACAACCACTTCCAGCTGGGGATGGCAACTCCAGAGCCATGTGAATTGTGGGACACATTTCTCCTCCATCGACATCATGCAATGTGGGGGGGACCAACTGCACATTAGGGCTTCCCCATAGGAAAACATTGACTATGGTGTATTGCTTGATGAGTAATGTTCACAAGCAAAGCATGAGGGTGTCCAGTGTATTTTCATGGATTCACATTCTGTGAAACTACAAGAAGTGCCCCCTCTAGTGGCTCTCTGGGAGACAGCCACTAGAAACAGTCTTAGCCCTGTAATGTAAACATTGCAGATTCTCTGAAACTGTAATGTTTACATTGCAATGCTAAGGGGGGGCAGTGAAACTGCACCTAGACAACTTCCATGATATGAAGTGGTCTGGGTGCCTATAGTGTCCCTTCAAAAAATATTTTTAAATTCTGTATATTAATTATTTTGAGAACATTTCGCATTTTTTTATCTGACTGAGCAGCCATGTTTGGTCTGGTTCTCACATTATCACATTTATCACATTTATAAATAAATAAATGCATCACAGCTGGCCTATGCTAAGGTGGCCCTGGCCCTCGGCTATTGCCTGAGTGCACGAATGGTGACCTCCCCTTGTTCAAAGGTTGCCATATACTTCATTATTTCCTTATGTTGACTTGTTAAAGATCCTCTATACTATAGCCATATTGTTAAGGCGCACATACACGTTTTTACCTTAATGTAACCATGTATTATGCAAATATTGACACTTATATTGCATACATGCATCTTTACACACTCACCCTCATACATAACCACACAATGACTCTACACCATACTACACAACAAATGTTTGTTTCTAATAATGCATGAAACCCAGATAATACATATTAACATACATCATTTACTGCAGTATAACATCTATAAATTGTGCTTAAAATGAATGGAATTCAAATATACTGACATTTCTCTACAATTCCCATGTGAACAAAGCTGACCTAATATGAATTGTAGATGCAGATCTTCCTGGAATTCTCTACTATACTCAGATTATGCCAGCAGTTTCTGCCAATGGATCTGTAAATCAGTCACTGTTCAATTTCAGTCTTTCTTAATGAGTTTTCTTTAAACCGCAACAGTGATGCCTTGGCAGGTACTTCTGGTTTTTATGGGAACGAATATGGTGAAACATATTTCTGTATAAATTGGATGGAGAGATGTACATTCTCAGTGTAGTCAAAACGTATTCATGAATGTTCTCTTTATAAAGAGAAACTAATTGACGTTAAACGAGCAGTTAAATGCTTATTGCTTTTGTACAGTGCCCAGTCCTTTTACATTCTAAGTACCTATTAAAACACCTACCT